AGTGACTCGGCACGAGTCGACTCTACGCAGGTTGACTCGGCTCGTGCTTACGTAGAGCAACCGGGATCAGCCAACGCGTTGGCAGAAGCAGCAGCCACTGGAGGAAGAGCAGTGGATGTGGCTGCTGCTGCTGCTGCTGCTGCTGCTGTTGGTGGTGGTGCTGCTGCTGCAGCTCCTGCTGGTGCTGGTGGCGGTATTGCCTCTGCTCCGGGTGATGTGGCTCCTGTTCCTCCTCCTGCTCCTCCTCCTGCTCTTGCTCCTGCTTCTGGCAGTGTTGCTGCTGCTGCCGGTGTTGTTGCTGCTGCTGCAGCTGCAGGTGCTGCTGCTGGTTCGTTGCGGAGAGCCAAGAGCGGGTTACCGGGCCTTGGTAGAGCAGAGAAGCCGGGGGCAGAAACGCAGGGGATGGTGCGGCCGATAACCCGAGATGCCAGAACCGTCTCCGCGTCTCGTGCTGCTGTGGCTGCTGCTGTGGGTGTGGGAGGGGGGGGCGGAGGGGGTGCTGGTGTAGTGGCTAATAAGCAGCAGCAGCAGCAGCAGCAGAGGCCAAAGTCCGCGAGTTTCCAGATGCTAGAAGAGGCTCTCAAGGACATGTCGCTGCTGGTGGTACGTGCTCCTCCTGCCTTTACCTGCATGTGGTGAGACGATTCTTTATGCGCCTTAGAATGAGTTTCCAGATGCTAGAAGAGGCTCTCAAGGACATGTCGCTGCTGGTGGTACGTGTGAACTCCGACCGATCCGGAGCTCGTTGGTTGGTTGCTTGACTTGCACATTCCATGCTCATTGCTCCGTCGTTTCCTCTTCAACCGCTCCCGCGCCACCCTTTAAGGCCCCTCGCACCTCCTCCTCACTTTCCTCTGTGTGTACCACCAAGGTGATTGGGGAAGTTGCTTTTTGAGTGGACTAAAAAATCCCCCTCGCACCTCCTCCTCACTTTCCTCTGTGTGAACCACCAAGGTGATTGGGGACGATGCTGCAGCGATACGGAATCGCAGTGGAGGTTTAGGCACCTCAAGTGTTCTCACCTCTACTCATGGCTCCTTTCGTCTCTCTTCTCCCACCCCTCCAGGTGGACGACAACCTGGTGAATCGCAAGGTGATTGGCAAGATGCTGCAGCGGTATAGACTGAAGGCCCTCAGGCGTCTCAGATGTGCCCCTCTGCTCACTCTTTCCCCCATTTTTCTGTCGGCAGGTGGACGACAACCTGGTGAATCGCAAGGTGATTGGGAAGATGCTGCAGCGGTACGGAGTGGCAGTGGAGATGGTGGATGGGGGACGGAAGGCGATTGAGCGGCTAGCCAAGGGCAACTGGGACATTGACTGCGTGCTCATGGATATTCAGGTGGGATTGTTGAAACGTCTTTCCAGCTTTCTTCAGGGTGGAGATGGTGGGTGCAGGCAGGTAGGCTTTGGAAGGGTTTGCCTTAACCGTTTGGACGTGTCCTAAGGGTCTCCTCATGGTTGTATTGTATGCTCATGGCTGTGTGCTCATGCCTGTATGCTCATGGCTGTGTGCTCATACCTGCATTTTCATGGCTGTGTGCTCATGGCTGCATGCTCATGGCTGTGTGCTCGTGCCTGCATGCTCATGGCTGTGTGCTCGTGCCTGCATGCTCATGGTTGTGTGCTCCTGCCTGCATTTTCATGGCTGTGTGCTCATGCCTGCATGCTCATGGCTGTGTGCTCGTGCCTGCATGCTCATGGTTGTGTGCTCCTGCCTGCATTCTCACGGCTGTGTGCTCATGCCTGCATGCTCATGGCTGTGTGCTCGTGCCTGCATGCTCATGGTTGTGCGCTCCTGCCTGCATGCTCATGGCTGTGTGCTCATGCCTGCATGCTCATGGTTGTGTGCTCGTGCCTGCATGCTCATGGTTGTGTGCTCCTGCCTGCATTCTCATGGCTGTGTGCTCATGCCTGCATGCTCATGGCTGTGTGCTCGTGCCTGCATGCTCATGGTTGTGTGCTCCTGCCTGCATTTTCATGGCTGTGTGCTCATGCCTGCATGCTCATGGCTGTGTGCTCGTGCCTGCATGCTCATGGTTGTGTGCTCCTGCCTGCATTTTCATGGCTGTGTGCTCATGCCTGCATGCTCATGGCTGTGTGCTCGTGCCTGCATGCTCATGGTTGTGTGCTCCTGCCTGCATTCTCATGGCTGTGTGCTCATGCCTGCATGCTCATGGCTGTGTGCTCGTGCCTGCATGCTCATGGTTGTGCGCTCCTGCCTGCATGCTCATGGCTGTGTGCTCATACCTGCATGCTCATGGTTGTGTGCTTATGCCTGCATGCTCATGGCTGTGTGCTCATGCCTGCATGCTCATGGTTGTGTGCTTATGCCTGCATGCTCATGGCTGTGTGCTCGTGCCTGTATGCTCATGGCAGTGTGCTCGTGCCTGCATGCTCATGGCAGTGTGCTCATACCTGCATGCTCATGGCAGTGTGCTTGTGCCTGCATGCTCATGGCAGTGTGCTCGTGCCTGCATGCTCATGGCTGTGCACTCATGCCTGCATGCTCATGGACATTGTAGTGATTGTGTAAGGGATGCTTCATTTGGCACACAGTGCACCATCAAATTTTCCCATGGCACCCGTTTCCCTTTACTCCCCTCTGCAGCAACCTCCCTTTATTTCTCGTGTGCTCTTGTACCCACTGCCCTGACACCCCCTCCCCCCCTCCTTTCAAATGCCGATTTTTTTGGCGTCTGAAAAAGTCCCTCAAAATGTACCTCTACCCCTGCACCCACTCCCCCTCCCCCCCCTTTCCCCCCTCCCTTCAGATGCCTGAGATGGACGGGTTTGAGGCCACAGAAGCCATCAGACGGCTTGAGAAGGAGAGGGAGAAGGAGAGGGAGGGGAGGGAAAGGGAGGAGAGGGAGAGGGATAGTGAAGCCGTGCTGGAACAAGCACGTTGCTCTCAAGGGTCACAGGCACAGACACAGGATGTGCCTTTGAGTCGCCTCAGTTCGCAAGGATCACCGGCACGGACACAGGATATAGCTGAGGCTGTGGCTCTATTGACCAAGGTAGGGAAACGAGCAGCACTGCCGGCTGCAGCAAACACGTTGCCATCAGCAGCTGCAAGAGGCACAGCTGAAGCAGCTGCAAAGCAGCCCACCCCTCCTTTATCCCCTCCCACTCTCACCTCCTCCATCCCCCCCATACAAGCACGAGCGCCAAAGTCACCCTTCCAGCCACTCTCCTCTCGATCCGGAATCTCCCCGCTGCCCCTCCTTAGAAGCACGCGTCACCGCAGGCACATGAGCAGCGGTGACCTGGACGGCCTAACCCCAGGGTACAGCCCATCCCAGGCAGGAGAAGCAGGGTCTAGGGTTTTGAGAGAGAGTCCCAGCGTGGGTGGAACAAGCGGGCAGGGAGGTGAGGGGGAGGTGAGATCTGGGGCGGGTACTCCCAGGGCGGGTACTCCCAGGGCAGGGTTTTCTAGGTTGGTGGAGTTGGCCAGTCCCACTTGGGGTAGGCAGCAGTCGCTGGAGCGGCATCCGTTGTTGGGAGGGCAGGAGGGGGCGCGGGGAGGGGAGAGAGGCGGGAAGAGGCAGGCTCAGCAGCAGCAGCAACAACTACAGACGCAGCAGCAACAGCAGCATCAGAAGCGAAGTTCCGAAGCAGACAGGGTGTTGATATTCGCGTTGACTGCAGACATTGGTGCAGGCACGAGGGAGCGGTGTGGGCAGGTGGGCATGGATGGGTACATGACTAAGCCTGTGGAGGAGGAGCAGCTGTGCCGAGTCATGCTGGGCCCTCTCAGACTGAGGAGGCAAATGAAAATGGGAGTGGGAGACACGAAAGAGTAGTGCTCTGAGTCAAACGAGTGGATTATTTTAACATTGTACAAAGTCACTAGGGAATCTTGTTATTGTAAGATGGCATGTGAGGCACACATGTTCTTGTAGCGATGGATTTTGTTGTAATACTATGAATATACTTCTTTGGCGCCGTAAGTAATACGGCAGAGGGGATGCCGTATTTGTACTACACTTTCAAACGACCACTGTTGCAGTCGTCATGGAGCTCCGAAGCGAATCGACCACTGTCACCATCAGCATCCACGGTTCATTACGCCAGCCAGTACCTGACAGGCTGAAATGGCGCGTGTTTCCCAAAATTGAGGACTTGCCCCAGCTCGTAGCCAAGCTTGACAGAAGGTGATCTCCTCAGTGCCATTAGGTCTACGTGGCGTGACGTTTGTCGGTTTCCAAGTTCTTTGTGCGTGCGCGTCATCTGACCCCCTAGGAGCGTTGGATGCTGGGATTTGGATGCTGGATGTGAGTGAGTGGATCGGGTTGCACTTGTTGACCCGGCGCTGTGCTGGCAATCCCAAGGAATTTGCGCGAAGAGTCGATTTGCTTGGTCAGACTTCACACCTGGAAACTATCCAACGTAATCTCTTGTCAGCTGACGTGCATTCTGAGGCCACCTCAATGCACGATGAGACTGGTGTGGTCCCCCGGCTGACGTGTTGTCATCGCAACACGTGGTAACTCTGTCGCTGGATGGGCCTTGGCCCCACAGCCATTACATCGCGACCCGTTGTCAGCCCACCGAGTGACCTGTACCAGACCTTGGCCTCGTGTGATGGCGCAGCGCCACAGCATCAGCTCAGCTCTCCGAACAACCACGCCAAACCTCCCGCTTGACTCCTGCGCAACCCGAAGCGGTTCCCCCCGACCGCAAATTTCAGGGATGCTCCTGCCGAAATCTGCCCGCGATCCATTCAAAGCAGCACACGATTCTGTTTCCTGGGCAGCCACGGCCCTCTTGTACCTGATTTCGCCAATAAGCGTCAATTTGGCCACCCGGCGGGGCAGTGCGCAAGAGCCGGGCAGATATCCCCCGGCGGATGCCCTGCGGAAGGCGTTCCGCAAACTGTGCTGGATTCTGGATAAAGAGCCCGGCGAATGAGAGAAGGCGTGCGTAGCAGCCAGTTGGGTTCAGGTCAGGACATTTGAGGAACGGGAGCGAGACAACCAAGCAAAGCCACCACTGTTCGAGCCAGCCAGACCCTCGGAATCCAGGGTTTCATTTCATCTCCTCGCCTCTCACACTCACCCTCCCACTACTCGCCCAGCCACCAACCCCCAGCGCCGCCCACACCCCCCCTTCCTCCCCCTCCCTCCCCCTCTCTGCATTTTGCGTAGCAGCAAGCAGCGACCAACAGTGAAGGGTCGCTGTGGATCGAGAGAAAGGGAAAAGCAGGTAATCAGGCACGGCAGAGTGCGTGCGACGGCAGCAGCTTGGATCAGCAAGCAAGCAGGCATTGCGGCAGAGAGGATCCAACGCGAGTGAACGGACGGACGAAGCAGTTGAAATAGTGACCGAGTTGGAGACAACACGTGAGCTAGTGTTAGCTTTGACTCTCACACGACTCACCGTACCCTCTCTATCTTCTATTTCTTTCGCGCCTCTCGGCGCCTGAGTCTTATCCTTAACTCCAAATACCCAATCTTCCAAATACCCAATCTTCTTTAGGGTTCTTAGACTCCGCTCGAATCGCAACATTATCTTCCAAATCCCACCATAGCAAGCCTAGAGCATGGCGTTCGCGACGTTATCGAGTTGGGATGTGCACCAAAGCGCGTCTTTTCCATTCGCCATGACGCGCTGCTCGCAGCCGTCATCGGCCGAGCCTCCATGCGAACCCACCTACGCGTCGCTCAAGCTCCATCCGCTGCTCTCTCCGTCGCAGGAGCACGTCGTCCGTCAGTTCTCGGCCCTCTCCATGCACTTACACGAGCAGCAGCAATGCCATCAGCAGCAGCAGGAGCAGGAGCAGCATCATCACCACCACCGCCATACTGCGAGCGAGCCCCAACGGCAACTGCAGGAGGAGCCGCATCGGCTTCATCTGTTGCCCTCTCTTAAGCAGAATGTTTCCTGTGTTGACAGCGAGCAGTTCATGGCTCGGGTTAACGTGGAAAATTCGGCTAATGCGGGTAACGAGGCGCAGCTTAACGAGGCGAGATTCGCAACATCCCCCGCTTCACCTGGCGTCGAGTTGGCGAGACTTTCTCCGCTTTTTTCCTGCCAGCGTGCGACGAACTCACCGTCGCACACCGTGTCGCACCCACCGTCGCCCGGCCGCGCAAGCGACGAAGTTGCGGAAGGTCCTCGTGACAACCTTGCCAGTGCTTGCACGGGAAGCGCGGGAAGCGCGCCAGTCTACAACAGCGGCGTCCTTCCATGGCTACGGAATCCCAGCGAATTGGACTTGAACCTTCCTGCTTCTCTCGCAGGTGCCGTCGCAGCGACCCCGCCACTTGCGCCGTCTTCTGCGGCCTTCCAGGTGCTTAATTCAAGCTTTTGGGACGCGAGCGCGACTTGCGGCGTGAATGGCGGCGCTGCATCGCCTCCTGTTTCGGAGGATTCGTCGGAGTCGTCGCTGGTGGAGTGCGGCAGTGAGAGCAGCAGCACGGACATGGATGACGAGGAGGATAATAACGAGGATGGGAATGAAGAGGACGATGAGGATGATGATGAGGAGGCAGACTCGGCCTTTAAGCCGTTGAAGCTGAAGAAGAAGGCGGCCTCACCCATGGCCTCTCTTCCCAGCAAGCGAAGCCTCTCGTCTCACTTTGGAGGCAAATCCCGGACGTTCTCATCCCTTGCTGACGTGTCAGCCATCCAGAGCATCCACGGCCTCGCGAAGCCGCCTCCGGGCCTCTGCCTCCGCCGACCGCGCCGTCAGTCGTGCCTCTCCTCCGCCTCCTCCGCCCTCCGCCGCAGCCCCTGCGCCATCCCCATCGCCGCTGCGCATCGCAGCATAGGCAAGCACCGCCTGGGCGCTGGCAGCGGATCTAGCAGCGGCAGCGGCAGCGGCGGTCTCGGGAGGCTGGCAGCCCAGCAGGTTCAGTTCTCGCTGGCGCTTGCTGTGACCATGGGAAGCTTGGGGTGAAAGGGGAATTGGAAAGGCAGATACTTGCAGTTTGGAGCAGTTTCAGGGGAGAAGGATTTCGCGTGGTGGCAACAAGACAGAGAGTTTGTGAAGTCAGATCGCTGTTGTGGCTGCAGGTTGTTCGTCACTTGAAGATGCAGCGGGTGGCTCTGTAACGTGAAGGCCAGTGCGTGATCTTTAAAATTGCTGGTGCGCTACACTTTGGAAGCTACAGAACAACCTCGATCTCACACTCCTACTTGGAGCTTTTGATCTGCTCTTCGCTTCCCTGCTACGGAGCATCTAGTCGTGGCTTCGTGGACGCTGGATGGAAGCTTCTGCTGAGTGTTGGCTGTAAGCTGCCCCCTATTTTGACATGGCAGCTGATGGTGGTGTCTGGAGCCATACTTTTCGCTAATAATGCGACGAGAATCTGACAGCGGGCTTTTGAGCATTCACTTAGAACAGGTCAGGCCAGGAAAGGGGTGGCAAATTTTGGACCAGTTGGGTCATGCCTTGTGCCTCTTGCTGGTTTTGCCCACCCCTCTTGTGCTGCTCGCAGTGAGTGCTATATTTTGGCTACTTGGTATTGGGCTGTAGGCGTGCCTGCTGATTGGATGTGCTGTTGATCAATAAGTGATGGGCCTCTGGTCCACCCTGATTTCTGTGATTTACTTTGCATCCTTAGCTTTCTTGCACCTGCTTATTTGGTGCATGAGAGCAGGACACTGGTAGACAATGGGTACCGGTAATATAAAAAGCCATACAGTGTACACCACCGTGCATGTGCTACAAGTGTACATTGGCTTGGCACTGCCTCCCTGCGCTGGTATTCATGAACAACCCTTTCCTTGCTAACCTTGATGCACAGATGACAGCCTAGGCAGGACTGCAGAAACACAAGTACTGTTGTAGAGGAAGAAGGGGACCTACCTAGCTGTAAAAGGCAACTTCGAGTCCATGGAAGGCAATACAGTGGGGTCAGGTCGGTCAATCCTGGTGGTGAAATACATGGATGGAACTGATGGCATGAGAGTGGGGCGTCTTGTGACGCGGAGCCGACCAACCAACCACGCTCAGGAACATGAGTTGGCACCGACATTTGGTTGTCACACGTCGAGTCGATCGCTGGGGTTGAGACGAGAGTATACGTGAAGCAGCCGCGAAGCTTGAGGGGATACGTGGCAGTGCGCAGGGCGATAGGTGTGGGGCTACAAGGGCACGAGTGTGGCAAGCGAGGGCCGACGGGCACAGGGGGTGATCAGTGCAAGGTTACAGGAGCATGGGGGTGATAATCGCGAGGCCACTTGAGTGAGCATGGAGGCACTATGGGAGCACAAGGCGCTGGCCGGAGTAGATTCTGTTGACGTCACACACCTGTGGATAAGTAGGAACAACACAGAATGGATAGTGCAGATTGCATAATGAGACCACAAGCAGCAACCAGAGAAGCCTGAAGGCCCAACGGCAGGACACACCAAAAGAAAGCAAGGCTTGGTGCACGCTCAGCACAACAGAGGGCGAGGCTTACATCTGGGTTGAGTTTGAAAAAGTCCGAGCTGGGATTGCAGTAAACTTCACGAGGGAGGATGGAGCTGAGAGTTTCACCAGGCCTCACCACCCACACCCTGCGCGCATGCATTGCATCGCATGGAAGGGGGGAACTATTTAGCCGAGGACAGGAATAGGAAGGGAGTGGAGTCTAGGAGGACACAGGCGGATTTTGAAAATATCCAGCATCCACAAGGAGGACGTTGGATGGATTGAATACACGGTGAAGTGTGCCATGGTACGTCAAGGTAGAGTTAAGTACGTTCACAGAAAAGTGCCATGGAAGGGAGTGAGGAGGTATGCAAGGGAAGGCGGGAAGAAAACTGGGGGGTGAGAGGGAGGAGGGTGCAAGGGAGGGAGGATGGAAGGTAGTGAGGGGGTATGCAAGGGAAGGCGGAAAGAAAACTCGGGGGTGAGAGGGAGGAGGGTGTGAGGGAGGGCGGGAGGAAGGAAGGTAGAGAGAGTAGCACTTACTTCCCATCGCCATCAGTTCTGCGGATTGGGATCCAGAAGTGGCAAAGTGTGCAGATCGCGATTCCAACCATTGCCAACGTAGCAAGAAACAGCCATCGACCATCCAGAGCCAAATGCGCATGCGATGCCCGTGCCATGGCAGTCATACAAAATAGGGTGCAAATATGAGAGGTCGAAGTAGACAAGTCGACGGGGGCAGACAGAGAGATTTGCCAGCTCAGTGTGAGCAGTACGAACCAAGTCGATTAGAGAGAAACGCCAATTCAAGCCAGGGGATTTCAACCACACAGCAGGAGGAGGACTTGAGCAACGTGAGACGAACGTGGAGATGGCTAGAAAGTGGCAGTGGGATATGCATGGTGGGAGTGCGATCCGCATGGCAATGTCATACGCATGGCGACATGATATGCATGGTGGGAGTGCGATCCGCATGGGAATGTCATACGCATGGGCATGGCGACATGATATGCATGGTGGGAGTGCGATGTGCCTGACTCACTCCAGCTGGACGCGGCTCTGCTTTGGCGAGCGCGGCCAGAGAGCCACCATGGCCAGCATGAAAGCCCCCGTGCCCAGCACCTGCTTCATCACCGGTGTCAACCCATCTCCAAACCGCTGCACCTGCCTCAACAGCCCTCCGCTGCGATTCCCCCCGTTTCCACTTGCTCCCCTGCCCCTCCTAGCCACCCGCCGCTCTTCCCTCTGCGTGTCCGTCGTGCCTGAAGCTGACGACCCTTCCTCGCTCTCCGCCTCCTCCCCAGTCTCCCAACTGCTCTCTGCTCCCTCACTGTCCGCCATGGCTGGCTGCCTGCTGCGGCTTCCGCCAAGACCACTGTTAATAGCCCCACTGCCACCGCCACCGCCACCGCCGCCGCCACTGCCACCGCCACCGCGCACACTGGACTGCTCGCTCGCCCTGCCTGTCGCGCTGCTCATAGCCGCCTGCACAGAGGCGCCTGCAGATCCTGCTGCCGCCTTGGCTGAGACTGAGACTGAAGCAAGCTTTGCTGATGTCATGGTTGTCGCTTCGCTGGTCTGCTGTGTGGCCGACGAGCATGCATGCACAGAGAGAAGAGAGGATAACAAGCACAGACCAGAGAAGCTCATCTTTGCTCTCCTTTGAAAATATTTCGCACAGGACACACAACCCCAGAAACACCTGCTAAATTCTTCTGCATGCAGCAGTACCATCACACCCAAGCCCTGACACAGCCACACACACACATAGAGCTCGCACCTGTGTTGATGCGACCTGAACGACCCTCTGCGCCTCAACTGAGACGATTTTTGAGGCGCCTCAAAATGCCCTGACACATAAACACACACACATGGAGCTCGCACCTGCGTTGATGCGACCTGAACAACCTTCTGCGCCTCCTTAACCACCTCCACCGCTGCTGGTGCAATCGAATCAGCATCCTGAACCTCCGGAGCAGCAGGAGAAGGCGGAGCAGCGGAGGCTGCAGCTGCAGCTTGAGGGACGGAATCAGGGGCAGCAGTAGGAACGGGAGCAGCAGGGACAGCAGCTGCAGTGGCAGGTGCTGGGGCAACTGCAGCACTAACAGACTCTTCAAGAGACGATTCGGTATAACCAGACTCGTCATCGCTGCCATCGAACACCGTCATCACGTTTGACATATCAACAGGCGCTGCCGCCACAGCCACAGCTTCCTTGAGGGAAGCAGCAGCTGCAGCAGCGCTGGTTGCTGTATATGACGTGACAGGATCGATTGCAGCTGTCTCTGTGGTTGCGATTGTGCTGGTGGTGACGGTGGTGGTCGTCGTCGTTGTGGAGGCAGTGGTAGCAGTAGTCGCCTCTGTGGTGCTGGTTGCTGCCATTTCGGTAGCTGTTGAGGCCTCCGATTCTGCTGCTGCAGCGGCGGGAGAGGCCAGCACTGCGCTGACAGTGCGGGGAGTCACGGTGCCACTGGCAAGGGGAGTCACAGTGCCGCTGCTGCTGCTGCCATCCTTGCGCTGCTTGCTCATTGACCTCGCACGCTGTTGTGGATTGGAGGGTGGAGTAGAAGAGTGTGTGTGATCACAAGCATGGCAACAGACTCGAAATGACATCTGCTGAAAGGTAGTGCGAGATGTTGGAGCACGGGAAGAGACCTAGAGGAGTTTCTCCGGACTGCCCTTACAGATCTCTTTCCTGGTCCGTCATATGCTTAAAATTTTATTAACATTTCACATTGGAGGACACAGAATCTGCTCCAGAAGGAAACCACCCACCATTGCCGCAATCTTGGCCCGCTCCTCGTCACTGAGCATGAAGCTGGACTTGACGTGAACCTGGCCTCCGTTGCTCCACGGAAGCATGTCATCGCGAATTCCCTTTTCGACTACCGAAGGTACGGACAGAGCTGCATGACAAAAAAAGGTAAAACTATGTGAGTGTCAGGTCCCTATCCAACCAAAGGAGATTCACCTCGAAGCCTTACAGCTTCGACATGTTATGCCTGGTTCTGCAGCGAGTCATAAACCTTGACCATTCATGACTGAGGGAAGAGGATCATGGGAGATTAGGGTATGGAAGGACTCCCAGGAGTCAAGGAGAAAGAATCACCTTCCACTCAAAGGCGAAGAACTCACAGGCTTTGCCAACAGCTACTCCACGGGCGTCAAGGAGCGTGAAGACCACAGGATCGGTGAGGTTGAGCACGGCACTGCGTCAGAAATGAAACTTTGTTCTCAGAACTTAAGACATTGTCCAGAGACGAGGTAGATTCAGAACGAGGGAGAGTCAAAACGAGGGAGAGTCAAAACGAGGGAGAATCAGAACGAGGGACAGTCGGAACGAGGGAGAGTCAGGACGATGAGTCGTCAGGATGGGGGAGAGTTAGGAAGCGATACTCTCGTACAAAGCGAAGTCGGAGTTGAAAGCCTTGATAGACGACGTTCCTGATCCTCCTGAGGACGTCGACGATTGCTCATCCGTGGAAAATGCTCGAGCACCGACAGCGACTGCAATAACCCAAGTGAACCGTCAACACCCAAGTTCAACACCAGCTAAAACATATCTTCGTTTGAGAGCATGCCACACGAAACATACCTTGGACAGCATATTTCTTCCCTGCAATGTTGTTGCGGATTGGTCGAGAGACACAAGGTGAGAAGGAAAGTGCATAAGACGGGTTTCGTTAGAATGAAGGCAGAGCGGATTTTGTTGACGACCAGACGAGAGCTGGTTAACAGAGTAAAAGCTTATGAGTACCTGATGGGCCGGGAAGATCAACGACCTCCAAAACTGCAATAGTTCGACACGCAAGAACGAGCATGAACGAGGTAAATAGTTCTGACGGCGATTTCAACAAAATCTTACAAATCTATGCAGCCTGTGGACGAAAAGAGTTACTCCGAACTGGTTATGCCTTCCACTGAGCAACGAATAAGCACCTCTCCTACCATATATGATTCTGTCTAGGAACGACACTGGTCGGTCGGCTTCGGGAGACTAAACTACTTATTTGAGTGACTAACAACGTACCTGTGATTCGCACGGTGCCAGGCATGGCTGCTTGCAGTCTCGACGCAAGAGCTTCACGAAAAATGATAACTAAGGCCTACGAGGTCAAGCGCTGACTACTCAGGCATAAAGACGGGAGTTCTCGATGTAGAAGAATGTGAGTTCCCTATGGCATGGCGAGAGTAAAGCTAGCAACTAGACCAAAATGATGGAGAAATGCTAGAATCAGAGACCAGCAAGGCCATGCCACCCAGCAACAAAAACGGCCTTGCGAATTCCCTCCAGCCAGCCAGAGAGGCACCCTCTAGAAAACACAGAATGATTCCAGTGTGCTAAACGTTCGGTTGATTGCGTTTCAGTGAGCTAGATTCCGTTCAAAAGCGGTATATCTACTCCCCACTATTATGATCATGGTTTTGAGGAAAAAGCGAACGTTACCATCAAGCCGTTTCCAGGTCGTTCTGGCCGTCAGATTATCCCACTGTCGGGAGGCCATTCGTCAGTGTGGACGTTCCCGATGCCGGTTGCTTGCGAGCCCCAGATTCTCTCACAATCAGCCGTCCATGTCAGCATTGAGCGATTCGGCATGGCGATTCCCCGCTCGTGGGATCACCAAAATGGTTCCCGCCAACAGTTTGAAACGATCAGTTCCTAGAGAAGTGTTCCAAATAGAACCTGCTCTTATGCCAAGTACTATATTGTCTAAAACAAGTGTCAGGACTCATAATAGTTTCAGCCGCGGTTGTTTCACAGCACAGCATGGAAAGCATGAGACTACGCAACATGCATGAATCAATATTCAAAGCCGTGCCTTCAGGTCCTTGCGCAATACCTTGCCAGAAGCTGTCTTGGGAATGGCGTCCACAAAACGCACATCATGTAGCCTCTTGTATGTCGCCACCTGCGACGAATAAAGAATACATATGACATTTTTGTGTGAGCTCAACATGCCATGCCATATAGATGATTTCCCTGGAATAACACTCACCTGCTTGCTGATGAAATCCTTGACTTCACCAACTGACAACTGTGCACCACCTTGCTGTAACACAACGAATGCCACTGGCACCTCCCCGCTTTCTTCACTTGGAGCACTGTGAGTCGCAAAAGAGAGGAGGGACATAATAAACACACGGCATGGCACAGTCACGGGTACGATGCCACCACACACTCCACACTGCCAGAGAAAGCTCTTTGCGAGAGGGAAAGAATACAGCCATTGCTCCAGTTGTACAGAACAAGGTGGTTGAACGGAAGGAACATGAGACAATGCGAGTGTGAGGAAAAAAAGTGGCAAACAGGAAAGGCAGGAAAAGGGAAGGCATGGCATGGAGGCATACGGAACAACTGCAGCATCGGCAATGTCAGGATGGGAGATCAGAAGTCCCTCGAGCTCCGCAGGAGGCACCTGGGCGACCAAGCCAAAAGCGAGGAAGAAGCAAAAAAGCCCGATAATAGAAACTTCAGAAAGAAAAGGCTGCCTCTTGTGCGAAGTGACCAATAGCAGTAAGACACCACATCTCATTTGTAAGGCCATGTGAGGTGTGAGAGCTGCTCAGTCTCCGGCCCACTGAGAGAAGCTCTTGAGGCGATTCAGAAGCTGAAAACCTCTTCCTTCACCACCCAACCTCACCATACGCACGTTTGCACACCACATACGCAGCCACTGTGACCACAAATCATTAGCAAAGCATATCTATAGCCACATCTAACTAGAGCGGCTATCACTATAGTCACACCACGAATATCCCCCCCCTCCCATCCACATACACCGTATCCCCTGTGTGCATTCACTATTGTCACATCTCACTAGAGCACCATTCGCTATAGTCACACCACACCTGGAAGCCTTTGACTTTGATCAGCTCCTTGACTCTGTCCACCACGAATATCTCCCCCCTCTCATCCACATACGCCACATCCCCTGTGCGCAGCCAGCCGTCTGGTGTAATTGTGGCCGCTGTGGCTTCGGGGTTGTTGAGATAGCCTTGGGGGGAGAGGAAGGGGGGAGAGGAAGGGAGGAGAGGAAGGGGGTTGTTGAGATAGCTTAGAGGTTAAGCCGAGGAAGGGTTAAGAGGAACTGACTTATGCGGGAAACGGTGTGCAGGGCAAGCGGAGCACGACGCCTGAAAAGGAGGGGGGGCGAGAAAACCCACCCGTCATGACCTGTGGCCCTCGCAGATGTCCATGTGTGTCGAATCAAAAGCCACCCAGATGTCCATGTGAGTTGAATCAAAAGCCACCCAGATGTCCATGTGAGTCGAATCAAAATCCACCCAGATGTCCATGTGAGTCGAATCAAAAGCCACCCAGATGTCCATGTGAGTCGAATCAAAAGCCACCCAGATGTCCATGTGAGTCGAATCAAAAGCCACCCAGATGTCCATGTGAGTCGAATCAAAAGCCACCCAGATGTCCATGTGAGTCGAATCAAAAGCCACCCAGATGTCCATGTGAGTCGAATCAAAAGCCACCCAGATGTCCATGTGAGTCGAATCAAAAGCCACCCAGATGTCCATGTGAGTCGAATCAAAAGCCACCCAGATGTCCATGTGAGTCGAATCAAAAGCCACCCAGATGTCCCCCCCCGTACTCGGTAACAAAGACTCCCCCGAGCCCATGTGCGCGGCAGCAGGACTTTTAACTCTGTGACTTTTGAGTCGACTCAAAAGTCACCCAGATGTCCCCCCTCTTTTTTGGTAACAGAGACTCCCCCCTGCCCGTGTGAGTGGCAGTAGCACCTTCACGCCTGTCACCACGGCACCGACCCACACGAGCATTGTTTTACACAAGGTACGTCAAAGCACACCTTGAAACACACGCACACACACTTACACACCCACATGCCCACATACACGCTCACACACACCCCACACGTACACACCCACATGCAAACATTCACACACACACACACACACACACACACGCGCGCATGCACACACACACGCACACACGCACACACACACACACGCACACACACACACCCACCTGTCATGACCTGTGGCCCTCGCACCCAGAGCTCCCCCCTCTTATTCGGCAGCAGCGACTCCCCCGTGCTCGTGTCAACCACCTTCACCTCCGTCAGCGGCAGCACCGACCCACACGAGCCGGGGGCAGGCGGCTGAGGCACGCGAGCAAAGAGGCGTGAGGCAGACACAGTGGGAGAGGCCTCTGTCATGCCGTAGCCCTGGCAGGGAGGAAGGAAGGAAGGAAGGAGGGGGGGGGGGGGAACGGGGGAAGCAGGAAAGAGAGTGGGGAGGAGGAGAGTCAACCACCTACACCTGGGACAGGGGGGACGGGGGGAAGCGTGGCAGGTGTGATGGGCGGTTGAATCGCATGTGGCAGGGTACAGGATGAGTGGATAGCACAGATAGCAGTGCACGCGCCTGAACCTGAACCAAGGTGCCTCAAAATAGGAGTCTAGTTTTGAGGCGCCTCAAACCTAGACTCCTATCACGCGATTGCAGTGCACGCGCCTGAACCTGAACCAAGGACCTACCCCTGGTGTATCTCCCCTAGCTGCACCTACCCTACCCCAGATATACCTGCCCCAGCCACAACAGCTCCAGATATACCTTCCCTAGATGCGCCTTCCTCGAATGTACCTGCCCTAGCTGCACATTCCTCGAATGTATCTGCTCTAGCAGCGCCTTCCTCGAATGTATCTGCTCTAGCAGCGCCTTCCTCGAATGTACCTGCCCTAGCTGCACCTTCCTTGAATGTACCTGCCCTAGTTGCACGGTTGGGAACTTGGCTCTGAAGGCAGCCTCTAGCTCCGGCCCTAGGGGTGCTGCCCCTGACACCACCCTCCTGAGGGCCGCGAGGTCAAACGCGTCCACCACAGGCAGCTTCGCCATAGCAAGTATAATCGGCGGCACGATGGGCGCCACCGACACCTGGTACTCCTGCAGAGTGCGCAGGTACTGCAGCAGGTCGAACCTGGGGAGGGTGACAACACATGCGCCAAGGGAGAGGAGGTTGACGAGGGTAATGGCGTAGATGTGGAACATGGGGAGGAGGCCCAGGGAGGGGTCATCAGACGATGCTCTCAAACAAAACCACACCTCTATCACACAAACCTGGGGAGGGTGACGACACACGTGCCGGCATGGAGGGATGCGTGATGGCGTAGATGTGGAACATGGGGAGGAGCCCGAGGGAGGGTGACGAGACCTGGGGAGGGTGACGAGACGAACCTGGGGAGGGTGACGAGAAGAACCCGGGGAGGTTGACGACACAGGCCCCCGTACGGAGAGACAGGAGGTTGACGAGCGTGATGGCACAGATGTGGAACATGGGGAGGAGGTCCAGCACGGTGTCATGGGGGGAGAGGTCGAGTACTGAGACATCTCAAAGACCGCACTTCCATCACACGAACCTGGGGAGGGTGACAACACAGGCGCCGGCGCGGAGCGAGAGCAGGTTGACGAGGGTGATGGCGTAGATGTGGAACATGGGGAGCAGGCCCAGCACGGTGTCTTCGGGTGAGAGGTCGAGGCGCGGGTTGGAGCCGGCGAGGAGCTGTTGGATGTTGGCAATGAGGTTGCGGTGGGACAGCATCACGCCCTTGGACACCCCGGTTGTGCCGGACGAGTAGGGCAGCGCACACGTGTCCAGCTGCAATGCTGCTGCTTCTGCTGCTGCTGGTTCTGTGGGAGAGTGGGGCTGCTGCTGTGGTCTTCTCCGCGCCCTGATCTGGGCTCCGTTTGCGCGGAACAGACGGTTGATGCCGATGGTGCCAGGAGGGACGGAGGTGCTTTCGGATGGGTTGGCCCTGCTGCTGCTGGCGGTGCTGCTGGCGGTGCTGCAGCTGCTGCTGTCGAAGACAACGAAGACGATGGACTTGCCAGTCTTGACATGATGCACCTTATCTGGAAGGCGATGGCATGGGGAGGAGAAAGGAGGGAGAGGAAATGAGATAAGGACCGTCTCATATGATGGACCGTCTTGACCACCTTGACCACCTTGACCGTCTCACGGTAATGTACTCAAAATTCTCATATGATGGACCGTCTTGACCACCTTGACCACCTTGACCACCTCAAGCTGCACATGAACTCACACGTACCCAGCAATCCAGGCGAGGTGATGACCATTGAATACGTGCTTGAGTCGACTCTTAAGGTGAGTCCTGAGTCCGCTTACAAGAGGTGGCTTTTGAGTCAACTAAAAAGTCACCTCGTTACAATGTCACACAGCCCGCTTGACCGAATCCAGTCGCATGAGCTCGAACGTACCCAGCAGTTCTGGCGAGGTGATGACCATCCGTGCCTCTGAATCCACCATCTGGTGCGCCAGCTTGCGAGCGCTGTAGGCGGGCGGGGTTGGCGGTGGTAACCACATCATACATAGCCCCTTACCTAGCAATTCAGGGGAAGTGATGACCATCCGTGCCTCTGAATCCACCATCTGGTGCGCCAGCTCTCGAGCGCTGTAGGCGGGGTTGGCGGTGGTAACCACCGCGCCCGCTGCGATGATCCCGAGGAAGAGGACGGCGTACTCGGGCAGGTTGGGGAGCAGCAGCAGGATCGACTCGCCGGGGCTGAATGCACGGGGGAAAGAGGAAGCAGAGGGACGTAGGGGGGGATGGATCATGGAGCGGAACAAGGGAGGGTTGCGAGCGATGATCCCGAGGAAGAGAATGGGTGTACTCGGGCACATTGTTGAGCAGCAGCAGCAGGACGGACTCGCTGGGACTAGACCGGGGGAAGAGGGAGGCATAGGGATGTTGAAGAAGGGGAGGATGAAGGTCAAGGGAGAGACTAGTCTTGGTCCCAAGCACGCCCACCGGAGGGAGCACCTTTAGACTGCAGCAGAGGACGAGACGGGAGGGTTCCACTCTCCATCATGTAAGGCTGTAGTCCCGACTGTGAAGCAGAGGAGGAGTCATGGAGAGTGAACGATGGAAGACATGGCGATTGGAAATAAAGAGCGGGTCTAGTAACTATTTATGCAACGGCATGTGAGCGGGAGAGATAAGAGGGCAGTACCGGATGCCAAGATCGGCGACGCCAGCAGCAACGTTGTACACGAGCTCCCCCACCTGCGCTCGCACAAACACACACACAGACACAGGAACAAATTCAGCTTTTGAGGCGGCTCAAAAGCCAAGTAAGAAGGTGTTTCTGCGTTGTACATGGGCTCATCCACCTGCATTCGCACGCACACGGGAATGCAGTAAGACTTGACGGTCAGAGGTTTCTGCGTGTTTTACTCGTGTGCAACGTGGCTGTTTTCTGATCATAGCTTCATTCTATGATCATAGCTTCATTCCGAGACTTGAGAGACGCCTCAAGAATCAGCCACGTTGCACACGAGCTCCTCCACCTGAATTCACCAGTGTGCCGATGCAGGTGCAGGTGAATTCAGGTGAATTCAGGTGAATTCAGGTGAATGCACACCTGCACACGGGACGGAGAATGCTACCTGAATTCACCTAGGGAGTGTCGCCTGGGGAGTGTCGCCTAGGGAATGTCGCCTAGGAAGTGCCATCTAGGGAGTGTCGCACGAATGTCGCCTGGGGAGTGTCGCCTAGAAAGCGTCACATGAGCGTACGTGAGCGTGCGGCCTTTGAGTCACTGGGAGCAGCAAACGACCTCATCGGCATATACAGTCAGTCTTTAGGGAATGCGACCTAGGTAGTGTCGCCTAGGGAGTCTGACGTAAGGAATGCGACCTAGGTAGTGTCGGCTAGGGAGTGTGACACAGGGAGCGTCACCTGAGCGTACGTGAGCGTGCGGCCAGTGACTCCATCAACGAAAGCGCGTCTGTCGGGCCATCTCGACGCATTCTCAAGCGCGAATTCCGGGAGAAGCACTCCGCCCGGTACTGTCACGCCTGCTTCGTCGGGACAACGGTAGATCACCTCCATAGTGGAAACAGCCAACAGAAGAAAATGTAGAGGGCAGACGGCGAATTTGTCAGTGTGAATAAAAGTTTGACAATGAATATAACACAAGTCATTCTTTGACGTGCGCATCTAGTGTAGTGGTATCATAGTACCCTCCCACGGTACTGACCGGGGTTCGATTCCCCGGATGCGCAGTGCTTTTATTTGCGTCCCCGCATTCCCGTTTTCCCGTTTTGTCGCCCGCTCTTACCTAGCGTTTTTCACAGTTGCTGCCACATAAGGACCTATGGTTGGCACCTAAGTGGTGTTCACTCGCCCGCTCTTATTACGGGAAGAACGGCTTACTCACCAGCCATAAGGGCTGTTTGCTTCGTCCCGACTCGCGATTCACGTCCCGACAACTTGTCCAAAGCTTCTAGTCCAGCGACCTTTGTGCGTCCCTCAAACGAGTCGTGCCCCTCAAACGAGTCGTGCCCCTCAAACGAGTCGTGCCCCTCAAACGAGTCGTGCCCCTCAAACGTGTCGTGCCCCTCAAACGAGTCGTTTCTCCTAGTACTCAAGTAGCCTGCACTCAGCAGCAGTCCGGACTACTACGCCGTTCCTTTACCGTCGATCGGATCGCACGTGACTCCTAATATTTCCGGTTAACAGCAGCGAACGCGTCGAGCTGTCGATCTCGTGCCATACCGCCTCGTTCCGCGCGTCTCGCAGCAGCCAATTCAGAACCGTCGCATGGCGTCGTAAGTGAACCCTTTTTAGTTTCAGACGACCCCAAACTAGCACTTAGTCGTTCGTCTCTGTCCTTCCGTCGCTGCCTGTCGGCCTGCCTGTCCGCCTGCCTGGGCCTGTCTTTTCCCACGCCTGCTGCCGCGGTTCGGCCTAGCCTCGTGCGCCTTATCGCCCATCATAGTTCCGTGGTTACATTTCGTCCCCGCACCTTCACCTTATCGCTCACCGATGAACCGGCCGCAAACGTTTGAGGGTTGCGATAGGAGAAACGATTGCAATCGTCCTTACTACAGCTCCCACCCCTCCCCACCTCTCCCCACCCCTCCCCTTTCCCCCCCTCCCCTCCTTTCCCCTCCCCCCCCCTCTCCTTCTCCACCCTCCCCTTATCTGTAAATTAGCCGGTTATCTGTAAACCGGCCACCAACGCCGGAGCCAGAGGTTCGAGAGAGAAGAGACGAGCCCATGTCGCTACGAGAGGTGGTGGATGCAAAGGTACGTGCGAGTGCGTTTGTGGTTCTTTCAAGTGCTACAATCGTCATCCTCTCAACACAAGTCGATTTTGACCAAATTGCTGAAATTTCATTAACTAAATAACTCTTTATTATTTGCCTAGCAAGTTTTCTTTCAAGGCACACGCAATCGAATGGCGACTATGACGTCGATTCCTTTCTTCTCTTTCCAAGTCCCATTTTCCCTCCATCATTTCCACCTTCCTTTCCATCTCCCTTTCCCCCCTTTCCTTATCCCCGTTATACAGCTGTTGGAGAGCGGGGAGAAGGAGAGGCTGAAGACTCTGCTGAGAGACAGACTAGAGGAGTGTGGTTGGAGCGACGACCTTCTCGTCTATGCCAGGTGAGTTATGATACTGCCTTAATTGTTCTTCTGATTTGATTTTGCTCTCAACAGGTAGTATGTGAACCTGCTAGCCTGCACCCTTTTTGTCATCCAACTTCTGTCATAGAAAATTCATTCTTCTTGGCCCGTAACTTGTTTTATATTCCGTTCAGGGCATATGTGAGCAAGGTTGGACGTGATAACATCTCACTGGATGAGCTCATACGGGCGATCACTCCGAAGGGCAGAGGTGCGTGAATGGGTTTTGAGATGTCTCCAAACGCTTTCCTGTGGACGTTCGATTTCATTGCCAGAGGTAGGAATAGGCCAGATTTCATTGCCAGAGGTAGGAATAGGCCAGATTTCACTGCCAGAGGTAGGAATAGGCCAGATTTAGAGAGGTGGGAATAGGCCAGTTTCATAGGAATGGGCCAGATTTCATTGCCAGAGGTAGGAATAGGCCAGTTTTTACTGCCAGAGGTAGGAATAGGCCAGATTTCTCTGCCAGAGGTAGGAATAGGCCATATTTCATTTCCAGAGGTAGGAATAGGCCAGATTTCGTTGCCAGAGCGTAGGAATAGGCCAGATTTCATTGCCAGAGGAAGCCGCTGTGCAGTGGCTCCTTCCTCTTTCAAATGGGGTTTTGCTCCCTGCCACAGCGCCTTTCATCCTTGTCTTAGTTTCCCTGCCACAGCGCCTTTCATCCTTGTCTTAGTTTCCCTGCCACAGCGCCTTTCATCCTTGTCTTACTTTCCCTGCCACAGCGCCTTTCATCCTTGTCTTACTTTCCCTGCCACAGCGCCTTTCATCCTTGTCTTACTTTCCCTGCCACAGATGATTTTTTCATTCCTTTGCCTGCGATGAATTTTTCATTGCTTTGCCTGCGATGAATTTTTCATTCCTTTGCCTGCGATGATTTTTTCATTGCTTTGCCTGCGATGATTTTTTCATTCCTTTGCCTGCGATGATTTTTTCATTCCTTTGCCTGCGATGAAATTTTCATTCCTTTGCCTGCGATGAATTTTTCATTCCTTTGCCTGCGATGAATTTTTCATTCCTTTGCCTGCGATGAATTTTTCATTCCTTTGCCTGCGATGAAATTTTCATTCCTTTGCCTGCGATGTAAATTTCATTCCTTTGCCTGCGATGAATTTTTCATTCCTTTGCCTGCGATGTAAATTTCCTTCCTTTGCCTGCGATGATTTTTTCATTCCTTTGCCTGCGATGAATTTTTAATTCCTTTGCCTGCGATGAATTTTTCATTCCTTTGCCTGCGATGAATTTTTCATTCCTTTGCCTGCGAGTGGTTTTCATCAGGGGTTCTTGACTTCATTCAAACATTCATGTGGCATGTTTTGTTTGTGCCGACGTGTGCATTGTGCTGCCATATGGAATGTGTGTGCCGTATGGAATGTGTGTGCTGTGTGGAATGTGTGTGACATGTGCTGACATCAGCATCGGTGCCAGGACCAGTGAAGGCGGAGTTGCTTCAACGCATTCAGTCCTTCCTCACTGCAAAGTGACTCACTAACTACAACAACTTTCCAAACATGGGTTGAAATATTAGGTCTATTTTGTAATAAGTGCATGGCAATGTCAGGGTTGGCTTGGCTTGGCTCCCTTGCTAACACACAAGAAAATGCTAAGATTTTTCTCGGTCTTCTGTGGAATTCTGGAAGATCGAGCAAGATCAGCTAGCTATTGTCAAACATATTTGTATATTTTATAACAGGCTAGATAGGTGCATGCTCTTAGAGGGTATAACCACTTAAACAAAATCAACGTGTATGTCTTAGTCACTTTTTCTACTCTGAGATGGTATCACGCACTAGGTTAGGTCCTCCCCCCCCACCCGCGCTTCCGCTCTCGTCCTAGTCCTAGTCGCCCGCTCCTAGCCGCCCCTTAGCGCCCCGTCTGCCCCGTGCGCCCCACCCGCCCGTTAGCTCCCTTCCGGCCCCGTTAGCGCCCCGTCGGCCCTGTGCGCCCCCTCTGGCCCGTTAGTGCCCTGCCGGCCTGTTAGCGCCCTGCCGGCCCCGTTCACGCCCTCTGGCCATGTGTGCCCCGTTGGCCCCGTTAGTGCCCCGTCGGCCCCGTGTGCCCCTCTAGCCCCGTCGGCCCCGTGTGCCCCTCTAGCCCCGTTCGCCTCGCCGGCCCGTTAGTGCCCCGCCAGCCCCGTTAGCGCCCCGTTGGTCCCGTGCGCCCCTCTAGCCCTGCTCGCCCCGCCGGCCTGTTAGCGCCCCGCCGGCCCCTTAGCGCCCTACCGGCCCCGTTAGCGCCCCGCCGACCCGTTAGTGTTCCGCCGGCCCGTTAGCCCCCTGACGGCCCTGTTCGCGCCACGTCGGCCCCGTGCGTCCCTCTGGCCTCGCTCGCCCCACCGGCCCGTTAGCACCCTGCCAGCCCGTTCGCGCCCTACCGGCCCCGTTAGCGCCCCATCGGTCCCATGTGCCCCTCTGGCCCTGCTCGCCCCGCCGGCTCCGTTGGCGCCCTACCGGCCCCGTGTGCCCCGTCGGCCCTCGCCAGCCGGCCGGCCAGCCAGCTGCCCACCCAGCCGGCTCCAGTCTAGCCGGCCCCCGCTTCAGCGGCCAGCAGCCGGGCCGTCCAGTCACAGCGCCCACCCACCGGCTCTGGATCCCTGTGCGCCGGCTCCCCTGCCGGCTGTCTCCACCGCTCTCCACCGCTCTCCACCGCACTCCACCACACTACACCGCACTCTGCCGCACTACCCGCACTCCACCGCTCTCCACCGCACTCCACTGCACTTCACCGCACTCCACCGCTCTCCACCACACTCCACTGCTCTCCATCGCTTCCTCCACCGCTCTCCACCGCACTCCACCGCACTACACCGCACTCCACTGATCTTCACCGTACTCCACCGCTCTCCACTACACTCCACTGCTCTCCACTGCACTCCACCGCACTCCACCGCACTATGCCGCACTCCACCGCACTCCACCACACCCCACCGCTCTTCATCGCTTCCACCACCTGTCCTCCTCACTCTGTCAGCGGCCGTTAGCAGCTGCATCAGTGACGATGGCGGAGTTACAGCTCCGTCTGGACGCAGAGGGTCGGGCTCTCGTTTTGAGGCGTGGCTGGTCGACCTTCGGCGACACCTTACAGGTCAGCGCCAGGACGGTTACTCCGTGGCTGTACATGTCGATGGCCTGCTTCCCGCCCCCCTGCGCCTGCTGTCCTCCCTGATGCCCCCACCACTGCTGAGCGTGAGGCCTTTTCCACTGCTGCGCTTGCTCATGCTGTCTGGGACTCGCGCGACGTTTTCGCACAGCTTGCTATCAGCCATGCGCTCCTGCTGTCTGAGCGTCCTCGCTTTACAACTGTAACGAACGCCCAGGCCTTCTTAGATGCTGTCATTGCGCGCTATTCCACCCCCGTTACTGCCTCTGCTGGTCGCCAGATCCTTCATATGCTGTTCCCTGATCTTGCATCCTTCCCCACTGTCGCCGACTTTGCCACGCACCTCTGCGCGCTTGAGTCGAGCTACCGCGCTGCTAGCACTGAGGCACATCTCACTTCATTCCCGCTGCCATTCTGCGCTACTCTTTGTCTCATCGTCACGCGCCTCCCTGACCGCCTAGCCATAGCCCGCGACCACTTCCTTAGTCAGCACCCGGGTGGCCTCACTCATACCGCATTTGTCACTGCCCTGTCGCAGATAGAGACCGACCAGCGCACTATCGCTCAGTCTAGCCGTACTGCGGTGGTACCTATCTTTCAGTGCTGTGCTCCCTCCCAGTGCACTTACTCTGACATGTCTGCTGCTGTTGCTGAAACTGCTGTTGCGGCCTCAGCGCAGAAGCGTCCGGGTAAGGGTCGCCGCCCTAAAGGGGGGCGTGGTGGAGGGTGGGGAGGGTGGCGGCGGTGAGGGCGGGGATGGTGGTTCAGACGAGGGGACCGGGGCTGGTGCCCCGGAGCAGCCTCAGCAGCAGACGCAGCCTCAGCAACAGCAGCAGCCTAAGCAGCCGCAGCCGCTGCAGCAGTCGTCGCAGCAGCAGCAGTCGCCGTGGGGACCCCCGCCGCCGTGGTGGACTGGCGGCGCTAGCGGCGGCGGTCGTGGGGGGGGCGGGCGCAGCTCGGTGTCGGGTGGCAGCTCCAGCGATGTCACCTGCCAGTACAAGCTTCAGACCGGCCCTCGTCGCGGCACTGTCTGCCTCCGACCCGGCCACACCGCTGACCGCTGCTACCGCCGCCTGGACGACCTGTTCCGCCACCGCTTCGGTCCTGCGTCGGACTCTCCGGACTGATACGCCCTGGCTCGCCGTCGTGTGCCGGTCTTTGAGCTTGACATGGATCAGATTAGCAATGCTATGTCTGTCATGTATGCTGATGACTCTAGTATGATTGGACCCTATTACCCAGTGTTGCCTAGTATAGGTGTGTCCACTGTGTCTAGACTAGGCTCCCCTGCTACGTCAGGCGTTGGACCGTCTGCCTTGTTTAGCCTAGGCTCCACACTAGCCCCTCCGCCGGCTGCCGCTAGCGCCTCGCTCTCCTTCACGCTTGACTCTGGTGCGTCTACCTGCTTCTTCTGTGACCACACTTCCCTTACGCCACTTGCCGCCCCTGCCGCCGTCACACTTGCAGACCCCTCCTCAAGTCCGGTAGTTGCACGTAGCTCCACCACCCTTCCCTGTCCGGCGGTCCCCTCGAGCACTCTTACAAGCCTGCACATCCTCTCGTTCTCTAGGAAGCTAGTTGGTGTCGGCTGTCTTCAGGAACTCAGCGCCACCACTACGTTCCCTGCACACGAGCGGTACGCCGTCTGCACCGAGACCGCCACTGGTGCTCCTCTGACCACGTTCCCCCAGGACCCTATCTCCGGCCTGTTTACGCTTGACACTGCTTCCCCCCGGTGAGGGCGTCCCCCCAGGTAGCCCCGGCTTGCTCGTGTCGTTCTCTCACTCACCCGTCGCTACTGTGCCACCATCGCCTAGGTCACCCTGCACTCCCGCCTTTGCGTCACATGTCCCAGCACAGTCTTGTCCTAGGTCTCCCTGCATCGCTCTCTTCCCTCCCTCCCTCGCCTGTGCCGCCATGCATGCCCTGCATTTGAGGGCCGGCTGCGCCATGCATCTCACTCCTCCTTGCTTCGCCCTGTCACCGCGCCACTGCAGACCCTGCACCTGGACGTCTGGGGTCCAGCCCGTGTCCCTGGGCCGCGTCGAGAGTGCTACTTCCTGGTGCTTGTCGATGACTACACGCGCTACACCACGGTGTTTCCTCTAGAGCGGAAGGCCGACGTGCCTGACGTTCTTATCCCGTGGGTCGTAGCTGCGCGAGTCGACCGAGGTCTCCCCGTGCTGTGTCTCCACTCTGACCGTGGCGGCGAGTTTGCCTCCCGTCGGCTTGGCCGTTTCTGTCGTGCGGAGGGCATCACTCAGTCGTACACCCTGTCGGACTCCCCACAGCAGAATGGGGTCGCTGAGCAACACATCGGCTTGGTTATGGAGGTGGCTCGTACCTCCATGATCTATGCCGGTGCACCCCATTTTCTGTTGACGTTCGCTGTTCGCTACGCCGCTCACCAGCTGAACCTGTGGCCCCACTCCCATCAGCCGGAGGCTTTCACCGACCCTCCTCTGGACTGGGTCTCCCGATGACGCATTTGCATTCCACGTCTGGGTATGCCTCGCTCACATACGTGCCTCTGGCACGGACAAGCTCACTGCCCGTACTGTCCCCTGTGTCTTCCTAGGTTTACCCCTTGACTCGTTAGACTGGCACCTTTACCACCCACCGTCTCACCGCTTCCTTCACTCGCGTGACGTCATTTACGACGAGTCTGTCTCCTTTTACTGTCACTTTCCCTACCGAGGTCTCCAGGTTTCCCCTCCTCTGTTTCTGGTTCCCACTCCCCTGGTAGCCCCTGCTCCCCTCCCTCCCCGTCCTACTCCATCTAGTGTATCGCACGTCACTCCCCTCCGTCGGTTGTCCTGGTCGAGGAGTCGGCTGACTCTGGTGGGCCCGCGGCGCAATTCTCGCTGCCTGCCTCTTCCCCGGTGTCCCCTCCTCCATCGTCGTAGTCGCCGCCGCAGCCGTTGTCACAGCCGCAGCCGCCGCAGTAGCCGCCGCCACCGCCGTAGCAGCAGCAGCCATCCGTGGACTCTGGGGGTGCTAGCGTCGAGGAGGGTGCTAGTCCTGGGGTTCCTGTCATGGCTTTTCCCAGCGGGCCTGGGGGTGGCACCAGTGGTGGAGAGAGTTCTCGCTTTGGGGGTGCTCGTTCTTGGGGTGCTGGAGTGGAGTGTTTCGATGGTAGCCGTGGTGCAGCTGGCGGTCTAGGTGTCAGCGTCGAGGAGCAGCAGCAGCAGTCGCCGCCGGTGGCCGCCCTTCGCCTTCTCGGCCTTCCCTCCCCTGACCGCTCGCCTACGCCTCCCCCGCCGCCTCCTCCCCTTCCTGTCCACGGTCCTGTGTTTCCTCCGCCGGACTCGTCCCCAGCCTGTTTCCCACCTCGTTCCCCTCTTGTGTCTCCTCCTCTGTCTCCTGACCAGACACCTCCATCTCAAGTCTGGTCGCGCCGTCCCTCTCGTGCTCGTCTTGTCTCTCCTGTTCAGTGCTCTCATCCCATGTTGCTTCGTTCTCACGCGTCTCGTCCTCCTCTCCTGCCTTCGCCGTCTTCATCGTCGCTCGTTGTCACGTCCCCCCCTCTGTCTGACTACCTTCGTGCTGCTCGTCCTCTTGTTCCCCGGGTCCTTGCCACCCTCGTTACCGACACGTTTGTTCCTGTCTCAAGTCTTGACGCTCTTGTCGCTGCTGTCGCTGACTTTGCCTCTACTCGCCGCCTTGACTACGCGACTGCTCTGGTCTCTGACCCTGTCTGTCCTCCGTCCATTGGGGGTGACGCCCTTGGCAGTGACGTTCTAGAGAACAGGCAGTACGAGCTTGCTTTCCTGTCTAAGGCTGCTCCCCATCTCTATTCCATGCTGCTAGTCCCTGAGGGTGACCCATACGCCTTTGACATCCCAACCCTACGCACTTACGCTGAGGCAACCTCGGGGCCCTGGGACTCTCAGTGGATAGTTGTCATGGAGCAGGAGATGGCATCTTGGAGATCCACCGGCACCTACGTCGACGCAGCTCCCCCACTTGGGGTGAACGTAATCGATGGCCGGTGGCTCTTCAAGGTGAAAAGCCTCCCTAGAGAGCCGCCTGTGTTTTAGGCGCGCTACGTGGCTAGAGGCTTCAGACAGCGTGAGGGGGTGGACTTCTTTCAGACCTTCGCCCCGACCCCGAAGATGACTGTTCTTTGGTCGCTGCGATACGTAGCAACAAAGCATGACTACGAGTTACACTCCCTCGACTTCTTCACTCCGTTTCTTTAGGGCAGCCTACACGAGCAGGTCTACCTGCGCCATCCTCAGGTCTTCACCGGTACTTTCCCTCCTGGGACCCAGTGGCTCCTTCGGCGCCCAGTCTACGGCCTGCGACAGGCGCCCCGTGAGTGGCACGACACACTGCGTGCTACGCTAGCTGACCTGCAGTTCTTTCCGTCCGCTGCAGACCCCTCGTTCTTCGTTCGTGCTGCCCATACTACATTCTACATCCTTGTCTACGTAGACAACATGGTCTTCGCTACTGTAGACAGAGACGCACTGGCCTCCGTGAAGGCCGAGCTGCTGAGGAGACACACCTGCACTCACCTAGGAGAGCTGTGCCGCTACCTTGGCCTGCAGATCTCTAGGGACAGAGCAGCACGCACCATCACTCTCACACAGTCACACTTGGTGCGCCAGGTCCTTAAGAGGTTCGGTCTTCAGTTCTCCTCCGCATAGCCTACACCTCTGCCTGTAGACCACAGTCTCTCAGCTCCTTTTCCAAAGGAGTCTGTAAAGCCTAGTGGTCCTTACGCAGAGCTGGTGGGTTGCCTTATGTACCTGATGACTTGCACTCGTCCAGATCTCGCATACCCTCTCAGCATTCTGGCTCGCTTTGTGGCCATAGGCAGACACCAACCACAGCACTGGTCGGCCGCTAAGAGGGTTTCGCATTATCTAGCAAGTACATCGGGCATGGGGCTAGTACTGGGAGGACGCGGGCCAGTGATCCTTACTGGGCACACTGACGCTTCTTGGGCAGACGACTCTGAGACCCTCCAGTCCTCTCAGGGCAACTGATTTAGCCTTGGTGCAGACGCGGTCTCGTGGAGGTCCACCCGCTCGTCGTCTGTTGCACAATCCAGCTGCGAGGCTGAGATCTACGCTGGTGCCATGGCGGCACAGGAGCTCCGCTCGCGGACTTTCTTGCTCACCGACTTAGGTGAGCGGCCTAGCTCTGCCCCGATCTTGTACGCTGACAACATGGTCATGATCCTCCTATTTCAGGAGCCTCGACTTGAGGGCAGAGCGAAGCACATTTAGCTGCGGTGCTTTCTCCTGCGTGAGCTGCAGCATCGCCGCCAGGCCCGCGTAGTACACTTGGCCTCCGGTGCCAACATTTTGATATCTTTACTAAGGCGCTTGCGCATAAAGATCATCAGCGGCATTGTGTACAGCTTGGTCTAGTTCCTGTAGCTTCTCACTTGCTAGGACCCTGATTGTGTACTACTACGTATATTATCTTGACTGGCCTTGTGGCTCTTGTCCCAGTGGCTGGACTAATAGTACCGCCCTGTGTTGCTCTTGTTTAGCTTATACTCTTGCTGACTGGTCTTCAAGCCCTTGCCTCAGAGGCAGGACTAGTAGTGCCACCCTGAGCTGTGTGTCGATTTCCAGGCACTGCCCCTCATCTGGCCTAGGGGGTGTGTCAAGCATATTTGTATATGTTATAAAAGGCTAGATAGGTGCATGCTCTTAGAGGGTACAACCACTTAACAAAATTAACCGGTGTGCCTCATTCTAGTCACTTTTTCTACTCTGAGAGCTATAGCCAGTGAGTGAATGACTTGCGTGGCAGGTTGAGGAGACATCGAATTATCGTTTATCCAACCTCTGTACTCAGAGGGGCTACGGGGTCACAGAATCTTGTGAAGCTGATCCAGTTTTCCCCTCCCACTGCTTTCAGCCAGTTAGAGACAACTAGGCTGGGTGTTTGGGATGGGAACTGGTGCTAAATGCGCCACTGGGCTTTATCCATCATGTACTGTACACACTCTATCGAGGGGTTGTTCGGGTTCGGGGCCGAATACTTATCCATCTCCACCTACCCATTCAGGCACAACCAAGGTTAGCTTGTCGCTTGTGCACTGTTCATGCTGTGATGTTAGAGGACACAGGTGCATACCATACATCAGTGCAGAACCCGAAGGGTATCGCCAAACTACGGTACCACCGTGAGGCAGGGTGGGACCGGGACAGCGTGTATGCTGCACAGGGGAGCAGGGCGCCTTAGCAGGGGCATGCTTTGTTTGGACGGGAGAGGAGGGCGAACGTAGCCCCGGTGAAAGCCCACCCTCATACGTCAACATAACAGAGGAGCACGAGCGGGGAGCGGGAGCATGAGTGGGAGCGGGAGCAGGAGAGAGGGAAGAGGGAGGAGCCAGCTGCATAGCAGTAGTGACGTCCAAGAACGAGATGTGGCGCCCGGCGCGGAGCTGTGATTTGGGCTGCAGCAAAAAAAACGCTTTTGGGGCACGTCAAAAGCGGCTGACGGTGCCGGCCGTGGTTAGAGCGAAGGAGCAGGAGCAGGAGCAGGGGCGGGAGAGAGAGGAGCAGGGTGCAGAGCAGCAGCCGTCAACGTAGGATGTGTGGCGCCCGTCCATGAGCTTCGATATGGGCTGCAGGAGAAAAGGCGCTTCTGAGGCGCGTCAAAAGAGGTTGACGGTGCTCGCCGTGGCTAGAGAAAAGTAGCAGGAGCAGGGGCGGGAGAGGGAGCAGGAGCAGGAGAAGGAGCAGGAGAGGGGGGAGCAGGTGCAGGAGCAGCAGAGACGTTGAAGTAGGAGGTGTAGCGCTCGTCCCTGAGCTCCGAGATGGGCTGCAGCAGAAAGTCCCTGCGGGCTCCCTCAGCAATGAAGCTCATGGCGCTGGCTGCGGCCAGCCCCCGGCGGATGGCGAAGAGGGCCGCACGAGGAGAAGCGGAGACCGTATCCGCCTCTGCAGCTGCAGCTGCCTCTGCCTCTGTCACACCAGCTGTGGCCGCTGCAGCTGCAGCTGTGGAAGCTGCCTGTCCTGCAGCCACTGTGGCCGCTACCCCTGGTGCAGCGACTGTGGAAGCTGCCTGTGCTGCAGCAGCGATGATGTCCAGCCTGCTGGTCGGCATGACTGACCATCCGGCACAGTCTGCCAGCTCCAGCCTCACCCCTTCCCGAGCACTGCCCCCCTCCACGCCCACCAATCTGAACGCAGCAATCCTCCCCCTGTCGCATCCAGGGGATGCCGGCAACGTCGGGTCGGAGGCCCAGGCTCTTGATGCCTCCTTTGAGGCCTCTGAGGTGCCTGAGACAGCCTCTGCCTGCAACTGTGGCTCCACCTGCGGCTCCACCTGCTGCTCCACCTGCTGCTCCACCTGCTGCTCCACCTGCTGCTCCACCTGCTGCTCCACTTGCTGCTCCAGTTGCTGCTCCACCTTCTGCTCCAGCTGCTGCTGCTCTCTGTGGGTAACCCTCTCCTCCATCTCTCCCTCGCACGCCTCTATCTCCCGCCTCGTCATCCACACCAACCGCCGTGTCAACCTTGCTGACCCTGCTGACCCTGCCGCTACCTCCTCCACATCCCCTCTCCGTTTCTCCACCCCCACATCCCCCTTGTTCCTCTCCCTCTCTCCCGTCGCTCCTTCGCCCTCACTCCCACCAGCCCCGCACCAGTCCACGGCCAGGAAGCTTCCAGGAATCTCCAGCAGCTCGAGGGAGATCTCTTGGCCAATCAGAGCATCCAAACCGCCCTGGTCCCACCGCCACTCCTCCACCTCCTCCTGCTCTCCTATCCCCACCTGTTCGACGTCTACCCCCACCCTCCTCTCCACATGAGTGCGCCCTCCCTCCTCTCCATTAATCCCTCCCTCCGTCCTCTCCACAAGTGAGCGCCCTTCCCCTCCACTACTGCCTCCCTCCCTCCTCTCCATTCGGATTCCACCTCCCTCCCTCCTCTCCACATGAGTGCGCCCTCCCTCCTCTCCATTAATGCCTCCCCCCCTCCTTTCCACGGCCCTTCTCACTCTGAAAGTTGCTGCCATGGCCTCCTCTGTGCCCTCTCCTGGTGTGCCACGTGTCAGCCCTGCAATTGGTTGCTTTTCGTCACTGCGGCGCCAGACTACATACTGTGAATTGCTCTCATTGCTGCTATTGTCACTGTCCTTATGATCACATCCCTGATGACGTGGCTTGGTGAACAGTAACAGCGAGATCAGCTGCTGATTGAGTGATTCGGGGTCGACCGGGCGGATCCACGTGGCAGGGTGTGACGGGTCGAAGCCTGGGATGAGCTGGCGATTGCCGTCCGTGAGGCCGACCAGCAGGTGAGGACCGAAGAGGATGGAGTGGAGCGAGGCGTACTGGGGGCGGTCGTCTGCAGCACAAGGGAAATGGAAGAGTGGAAAGAGGTTAGAGCGCCAGGCGGGATGCCGCTTGCTGTCCATTAGGCCGACGAGCAGGTGAGGGCCGAAGAGGATGGAGTGAAGAGAGGCGTACTGGGGGCGGTCGTCTGCAGCACAAGGGGGGTGGGTGGAGATGAGGGTGGGCAAAGGACGAGGAGAGAGGAAGGTGGTCAGAGTGGGGTGTGAGGTGGCGATTGCCGTCCGCGAGGCCGACCAGCAGGTGAGGTCCGAAGAGGATGGAGTGGAGAGAGGAATATTTGAGGCGGTCATCTGCAGCACAAGAAGGATAGGATGAGAACAAAAAAGAAGGGAGAGTGGGGTGAGGCGGGACGAAACCCGGATGAGAGCTGACGATTCCCCCCTGTTGGTCCGACCAGCAGGTGCAGGCTATGGGAACATGACAGGTGGAAGTGAGGAGGAGGAGCAGGCGCCCGTGCGGGCCAGATGGAGTGGGATGGACTGGAGAAAGGAGTATTGCGTGCATGTTCATTCAAAAGCCCCACACCTTGAACGCTTAAACCAGGGTCGTTTCGCACTTGTTGCTGCTACTTGTATGGATTGGATTGGCTAGCAGGGTGCGGAAACTGACTGACGAGGATTGTGAGTCTACAATTTCCGGGATACAGAATCGTGACGCTTCCAAACCGCGTAGCCTGAAACCGAACCTGAATCCCAGGGAAAACCTATCGCAATTTTTTTTCCAGTCGACTCAAAAATCACCTCAAACCTGAACCCCATGGGAAACCGATCTCAGAAATTTCCTTTGCCAGAATTGCAATTCTGGAAAACATACTCGACAGCCTCATGTTGTGCGTAAATCGAGCTGGCTTTAGTCCAATTGAACACCAAATAGTGAGGTGCCATTGTGTCAATACGTGGCAGCAACTTTGGTGTTCAATCGAGCAAATTTGGTGTTCAATCGAGCAAATTTGGTGTTCAATCATACTCGACAGCCTCATGTTGTGCGTGAATCGAGCTGGCCTTTGAGTCCACTCAAAAGAATTGCAGTTCGTTTTTGAGAATTCTCAAAAACACTCAAAAGAATTGCAGCTCTCGCAAAACATACTTGACAGTCTCATCTTTTGCTTGAATACGTTTTGCATTTGTTGGGGCTCCAAGGGTGTGCGTCCCAGGTCAGGCATGTCGTGAAAGTCACAGTTTTCGGCCATAGCAGCGTTTTCGAGCCCAGCTCCCAGTCTCGCCGTCCCAGATGATAAGTTGGAAAAATCGCTAGGGGGGGGGGGGGGGGGGGTGAGCGTATTGCCTACGTGAGGTCCAGCGTGGGCACCAGGTGGGCACCAGGTGGGCACCAGATGGGCACAAGGTGGGCACCAGGTCTCCATTGTGAGACCCTGGTTTCAAGAGGTCCACGCTTGAATCTCACCTTGAATGCGTTCCGCCCTGAGGGTGAAGGAGATGTTGAGGGAGATGACGTCACCCACCCTCCACTCATGCTGCACCCAGAGGAACTTTCCTGGAAGTGGGGCAGAGGGGCATGCGGAGGGTTCCGAGGGTTCACACCAAGGCGCAGAGGGCGGTTGGCAGAAAAAGGGGGGCGAAGAGGTGGCAGCACGCGGGGGGGGTGGGCAGAAGGGGCGGCGGTGGCATATCGGGTGGGTGACACATGGTAATAATGCAACTGCACCCAGGTGTTACCTGGTTTGGGGCATGGCAGAGCGTTGCCATTGAGGCTGGCAGCACAGTGGGGGGCAGCAGCAGTGGCAGCAGCCCAAGAGGGAATGCGGAGGAGCACCTCTGCTGCTGCACCGTCTGCTGCCACGCTACCAGCTGCTGCTCTCCCTCTCACTCCATTCCCTCTGCCTGCCGCCTCTGCTGCCTCTGCTGCCTCTGCTGCTGCCTCTTCTGCTGCTGCTGCTGCTGCTGCCGCCTCTGCTGCGTCTGCTGCTGTGTCTACTCCCCCATCACTCTCCAATCGTCCTGCTGTTGTCCTTCCGCCTGCCTCCTCATCGCCCTCCCATGGAACCACCGCCAGCTGGACCTCCAGGATTGGCCGGATGGAGGAGGGCCACGTGGCAGTCATCTGGAGTGCCAGCTGTGCGGTGTGCCATGTCAGTACGCTGGAGACGAACTGGACCACGTACAGGCGGGGAATGGAGGAGGAATCTGACGTGGCAGAAGCAGACAAGGAGCGCCGCCCATCGGTGGTCTTCTGCGTGCCGTCTTTGACTGGCGACTCGAAGTAGATCGAATCCCCGAGCTTGGCAAAGGACTCGATGCCTGCGGGGAGGGAGAGGGTAGATGAATGTGGAAAGGGAAGCAGATTTCAGAATACAGGGAAGGGACTGTATTGCAGAATTAGGTTTTTGAGAATTCTCAAGTGACTGTAGTGCAGAATTAGGTTTTTGAGAATTCTCAAAAGACTGTAGTGCAGAAGCTGCTCCTGGAGAGAAGAGTTAAGAGGGTGTCCTTCAACTGAGTGGGGGTAAGAACAGAGGAGAGAGAATGAATGAAATGCTCGCACTCACCCACCATGGCACCACTCCCCCGTGCCATAGCACCACTCCCCCGTGCCATAGCACCACAGTGCCTAACGCCCACGAAGGTAGCAGGAACTCACCCGTGCCATAGCAGCACCAGAAGGATGCGAAGGGGGTGCCCCACCCGTGGTAACCGCGCGCCTTGCTGTTACCCGCCCCATGTGGTAACATGTAGATCATGACACCTGGGGGTAGGTAGGGGAGTGGTGGGTTAAAGACGTTCTGAGAATGCTTAAAAGTCAGCAGCATGTGGTAACACGCATATATCGTAACACCTAGGCCTGTGGGAGCAGATGATTGTACATAAAAAGGTTGGTTCAACTTAATCATACCACCCTACATATCCTTCTTCATATCATACATATCACCATTGTTGACTTTCTTTCTTCCAGCTTCTGGCCTAATGGCACACTTATAGCTTCTTGCTTAATCCCACACAAATCATAGCGCCTTAAGGATCTATGACTTGCCCGTTGGTGGTGCTAAAACCGAAGTCACGATTGCTGACTTCCTTGCCCAATTGCATGGCGTGCCCCTCTCATATGCCTCTCATATGCCACCCTATTGCACGACCTATTGCACGCCCTATTGCCCGCCCTATTGCCCGCCCTATTGCCCGCCCTATTGCCCGCCCTATTGCCCGCTCTATTGCCCCCCCAATTGCCCGCCCTATTCCCCGCCCTATTGCCCGCCCTATTGCCCGCCCTATTGCCCGCCCTATTGCCCGCCCTATTGCCCGCCCTATTGCCCGCCCTATTGCCCGCTCTATTGCCCGCCCTATTGCCCGCTCTATTGCCCGCCCTATTGCCCGCCCTATTGCCCGCCCTATTGCCCGCCCTATTGCCCGCCCTATTGCCCGCCCTATTGCCCGCCCTATTGCCCGCCCTATTGCCCGCCCTATTGCCTGCCCTATTGCCCGCCCTATTGCCCGCCCTATTCCCCGCCCTATTGCCCGCTCTATTGCCCGCCCAAAATGCCCATGAGACGAGGCGAATGGTTTGACACATTGCCAGGCTCAACACCACATGACGTTGCAGGGTGTTTTTTTAGAATTGAAAAAAAAAAAAACATGACACACCTGACACACCTGACCACCACATGACACACATGACACACCTGGCAGTGTGCCTCGCTGAATGCCCATGATGCCATTCGTTATCGCCCTCTCGTACCAGTCCATGAATCGAACAGAGCGCGTCCACCGGAAGTTGTTGCGGGCGACCTGCAAGGGAAAGCCGGGAGAAAAAAGGGGAGGAGGGGGAGGGGGAGGGGGAGGGGGAGGGGGAGGGGAGGGGGAGGGGGAGGGGGAGGGGGAGGGGGGTGTTTGGGGGAACTACGGGAAGTGAGACAAACAACTGGATGTGTAGTCTTATTGAGTCATGTTGTATGTGGTGCACGAATTGTGGTCCTCCTGACCCGACCTGAACCGTAACTCGGGTGGACCGCATTGACGCATCTTGACCCACCTTGACTTGCATTTACCCACGTTGACTTGTACTGACCCACGTTGGCTTGCACTGACTCACCTTGAGCATGTTGTACGTGGTGCACGACTCCTGGACCTCCAGTACCAGTATGTGCCATGATTGGTGCTCATTGCTTGCACTGACGCCCATGTTGACTGCATGACCCATTTTGACTCACCTCAACTTGCATTGACTCACCTTGACTTGCGTTGACTCGCGTTGACTCACCTTAAGCATGTTGTACGTGGTGCATGACTCCTGGTCCTCCTGTGCCAGTATGTGCCCACACCGGCGCGGCTCTTGCCTGCATGTGGAGGAATGATTTGGTAAGTTTTTGAAATGAATGCCATCGAGGGCGAATGCCATTGACGGCAAACGCCATTGATGGCAAATGCCATTGAGGGCAAATCCCACACCAGTGTGGCTCTTGCCTGCATGCGGAGGAATGAATTGGTAAGGTTTCTTCGACGAATACCATTCACGATGCTCAACTCACAGAACCACAACTGGGCACAACTCACCACAACTCACCACAACTCTCCACAACTCTCTACAACTCACCAAAATGGACAAGAAATGACCACAAATGACCACAAATGACAACAACTGACAACAATTGACAACAACTGACAACAATTGACAACAACTGACCACAACTGACTACAAATGACAACAAATGACAACAACTGACCACAACTGACAACAAATGATCACAACTGACTACAACTGGCCACAACTTCCCACAACTCACCACAACTCACCACAACTCTCCATAGCTCTCCACAACTCACCAGAACGGACAAGAAATGACCACAAGTGACCACAAATGACAACAACTGATGACAACTGACAACAACTGACCACAACTGACCACAACAGACCACAACTGATAAGACACGAACACAAGCTCACCAGAACTCAAAGGCAGAGGTGCCTCCAGAGGTGAAGGAGTGAGAGGCGTTGACGAGAGTGAGGAAGCGGTGGGAGAGATGCTGGTGGGGGGAGAGGGGAGGGGGAGGCACGGACGTTGGCGGATGACAAATAGGCGAGGCAAGGGCGGGAGCGAGGGAGTGAGAGGCGTCGACGAGAGTGAGGAAGCGGTGGGAGAGATGTTGATGGGGGGGAGAGGGATAAGGGAAGGGAGATTCAAGGCTCCTCAAAGCATGAGTGAATGGAAGAGAGACGGAAGTGAGAGATGGGGAGGGAGAGGGAGGGTGAGGGGGAGGTGAGGCGAGGGGGAGGTGGGGCGAGGGAGAGATTTGCATCGAATGTGTAGGACGATTTAAGGCCCCTCAAAACACCGACGTTAAGCAGTCACATTCACACCCTATATAAGCTGCCCGCGGTGGCCTCGTATCGCATCTGGGCGCCTATGACCACAGGAATGTGTGTGCTGAAGTGAATGATACCCAAGGGTTAGGATACGTTTCATACCCGGTATAAGCTGTCTCCAGTGGCCTCATATCGCATCTGAGCCCCTATGACGACAGGGATGTGCGTGTTGGAGTGCAGCCCAGCCAGGTCGTCCGCTCCCAGCGCCAAGGGGCCGAGGAAGCACGGCTTGTCAAAGAGATGCGCCAGGTGCAGGTGATGGGGGTTGCGCTGGGAAGGGAAGGGGGTGGGAGGTGGGGCAGGGGGGGAGGGAAAGGGGACGCAGGTCACACGCCATCAGCGCCAAGCCAAGGGGCCGAGGCACGGCTTGTCGAAGAGATGCGCCAGGTGCAGGTGATGGGGGTTGCGCTGTGGGGTGGGCGGCAGGGGGGAGGGACCGGGGCCTGTGGCTTCGGAAGAGATGAGCCAGGCGCAGGGGATGCGGGTCGTGCTGTGATGTGGGGCAAAGGAGGCGGACGGGAGGCTGGGCGGGGTGGGAGGGGTTGACAGGTCGGGGAGGGATGGGAAGCAGGGCGTGTGGACTCAGTGCGAAGGGCTTTGAGCAGGCAGGGCGTGTGGACTCAGTGCGAAGGGCTTTGAGCAGGCAGGGCTTGCCAAAGTGATATGCAGTCGCTGTAGGGCTGGGTGCTAGTCAGCCGCAGACCGTCAGTCATGGCGCCAAACCAAGGTGACTTTTGAGTCGACTCAAAATGGCACCAAACTCCTCCTTGAGCGACAGCCAATGGGGAGACACCCCCCTTCAGCCACATGCTCCACAGTCACAACCCGTTACCCTCCCAATTCCCTTACAGTAACGGAGTACAGCCTATAAAGAATGTCGTTCATGCCGCCAAACTCCTCGTTGAGCGACAGCCAATGGCGCGCCACCGTGTGGCGCTCTATCACTCGCTGCACGCGGCCGCGGAAGTATTCAGCCATCCATGTCAGCATGCGCAGTGCTGCTTTGTTGCCTGCCAGGTCGTACTGGTCCAACAGACCTGCCATGATCTGAAAACGGTGTGTGTGTTGGGGAGGGGGGGGGGGGAGGAGGGGGGAGAAGAAGAGGAGGTGAGTCGTCCACCTCAGCATTCGCATCGCAGCGCTGCTTGATTGCCCGCCAGCTCGTACTGGTCCAACAGGCCAGCCATGAGCTGAAGAGGGGGGTGCAGGAGAGGGCGGGGGAGAGTAAAACACTCTGCCACCAACCTTGTCAGCATGCGCAGTGCTCCATCAAGCTACCAATTCCTCTTCCTTTGGAGATGCAGGGAGGAGTGTTACGTGCTGTGTGGCATGAGACGCCATCCCTTACCCCTCTCCCCCACCCCTCCATCTTCCTCCCCCCCCCTCCCCTCACCTTGTGCATGGTGTAGTACGGCGCCCACACGGGCTTGATGGCCTCCACCTCCCCCCCCCTCCCCTCACCTTGTGCACGGTGTAGTACAGCGCCCACACGGGCTTGATGGCCTCCACCTCCCCCCTCTCCCCCCCTCACCTTGTGCACGGTGTAGTATGGCGCCCACACGGGCTTGATGGCCTCCACCTCCCCCCCTCTCCCCCCCTCACCTTGTGCACGGTGTTGTACGGCGCCCACACGGGCTTGATGGCCTCCACCTCCCCCCCTCACCTTGTGCACGGTGTAGTACGGCGCCCACACGGGCTTGATGGCCTCCACCTCCCCCCCTCTCCCCCCCTCACCTTGTGCACGGTGTAGTACGGCGCCCACACGGGCTTGATGGCCTCCACCTCCCCCCCTCTCCCCCCCTCACCTTGTGCACGGTGTTGTACGGCGCCCACACGGGCTTGATGGCCTCCACCTCCCCCCCTCACCTTGTGCACGGTGTAGTACGGCGCCCACACGGGCTTGATGGCCTCCACCTCCCCCCCTCTCCCCCCCTCACCTTGTGCACGGTGTAGTACGGCGCCCACACGGGCTTGATGGCCTCCACGCGGTCAAAGAACTCCTCTGGAAACGCTGACAGGTACCCCGAGCCAATCCGCTGCTGACACGTGTCCAGCTCCCCAACCAGATAGTCCATCTTGGCTTTCAGGGACGCGTTCCCCGTTGATGCCCACGCTAGGGCCGATGCGCTCAGGTAGTGCCCTGGGGATTGCAACGGGCAATGAGAGGGTGACCACGGTAAGACGGTGCAGGAAGGGGTGTCTGCAAATCTACATAGAGACCAGACAGTCCATCGTGGCTTTTAGGGGCGCATTGCCCGTTGCAGCTCACGCTAGGGCCGACGGGCTCAGGTAGGTGACCTGTGTATTACACAACAGGACGGGGGTGATAAGAAATGTTGCCTCGTATTACACAGGCCACTGCCTGAGCGCGTCGGCCACTACCAGTGCTGTGTGTATTACACAGCACTGGCCGACGGGGGTGATAAAAAAAAAAAAAAAAAAAAAAAAAAAAAAAACTCCAGGAGGAATTTCCCATCCCCCACCTCCAACTGGCCTGCTGCTACCTGTGGGTGGATTCTTTCCTCTCACTCACGCGCAGTATTCACGCTGCTACCCTGCCCGTTTCTCAGTGGAGAGCACAGTATTCACGCTGCTGCCACGGGCACCACCGGTAAGTGGCTCCTCTTTGCCCACAGAATCCGGTTGGCTTTTGAGAGTTCTCAGAAACCGTTGGCCCAAAAGCTCTCACGGAATGACCTCTGCATGCGCCATGCTTTGAGGCCGCCTCTCAGAACCCTCAATCCGTTGTCACCACTCCACTCCCCCACCGCCCATTTGCTTTGCCCACGAGCTGCTTCTCCCCCCTGATCTGATCTGATCTGATCTGATCTGATCTGGTCTCATCTTATCTCACGCACTCACCCACAAAGTGACCCCTCAGCTCGCTGGCAGGGTTCTCCCACCCCCCGTACGGCTTCCCCTGCGGCTCCTCCTCCCCCGCCATCCGTCGGAACGACCAGAGCAGGCGGTCGGCGTCTAGCGCCAGCAGGTACTGCAGGTTGGTGCTCTGGGCGGCGAACTGAGGCGAGGACGGCGCGAGGCGCACAGCGTGGAGTGGCAGGGGCGAGAGGAAGCGTGAGCGCTGCACCTGGGTGGGGGAGGGGGAAAGAGGCGGAAGATGGGGAGAGGAACGACCAGAGCAGGCGGCCGGCATCTAGTGCCAGCAGGTACTCGAGGTTGGTGGCTTGGGCGGCAAACTGGCGAGGCGAAGGTGAGAGGCGCACGGCGCGCAGGGGGAGAGGCGAGAGGAAACGCGGGCGCTGGGAGAGAGAGAGGGGTGCGAATGAGAAGAAAAACGGGGGGAAACGGTGGGGGTGGGTGGGTGTGATTTTGAGTCGACTCAAAAGCAGAGGCGAGAGGAAGCGAGGGCGCTGGGGGAGAGAAAGGGATGCGAATGAGAAGAAAAACGGGGGGAAACGGTGGGGGTGGGTGGGTGGGTGTGAGGAACGGCCACAGCAGGCGGGCGGCGTCGAGCGCCAGCAGGTACTGCCGGTTGGTGCTCTGGGCGCCGAACTGCGGCGAGGACGGTGCCAGGCGCACGGCGCTCAGCGGCAGGGGGGAGAGGAAGCGCGGACGCTGCACGTGGGGGAGGGGTGGGGGTAGGGGGAAGAGGCAAGGGGTGGGGAGTGGGGGAGAGGGGGGAGGGGGAGAGGGGGAGAGGGGGAGAGGGAGAGAGGGGGAGAGGGGGAGAGGGGGAGAGGGGGAGAGGGGGAGAGGGGAGAGGGGGAGAGGGGGGAGGGGGAGAGGGGAGAGGGGGAGAGGGGGAGAGGGGAGAGGGGGAGAGGGGGAGAGGGGAGAGGGGGAGAGGGGGAGAGGGGGAGAGGGGGAGGGGGAGAGGGGTAGAGGGGAGAGGGAGAGAGGGGGAGAGGGAGAGAGATGACATCAGGCGAGAGGGGAAGAGGAAGCGAGCAGAGCAGGCAGGGGGTGTCTGTCTGCTGCCAGCCAGCAGGTACCTGAGGCACTCGAGTTTGGTTTTGGGCGGCGAACAGAGGGGAGGAGAGGCGCGAGAAAGTGCAGGCGCCGGAATACAGATCGGGGGGGGGGAGGGGATAAGGAAGCAAGGAAGGGGTGGCAGGAAAGCACATGCACACACTCTCCTTGGCTTTCCTCTCTCTCGTCTCCCTCACCCTCCCGCAACCGTTCTTTACCCCACTCTCTCCCCCCCTCTCACCATTGCCCCCCTCTCACCATTGCCCCCCTCTCACCATTGCCCCCCTCTCACCATTGCCCCCCTCTCACCATTGCCCCCCTCTCACCATTGCCCCCCTCTCACCCTTCCCCCCCTCTTACCCTCCCCCCGCCTCTCTCTCTCTCTCCCCCAGCGCCTCACCCTCTCCCGCATCCCTCGCCGCCTTCCGCTCCCGTCGCCGCCCCCATCCGCAGCGGGGGGAGACTCTCTCCCCGCCAGCGCGTCAGCGGCAGCGCGGCTGTCCGCGGGGTGGCGGAGCACGCGGAGGTGCGCGCGCACGGAGGGACTGGGGGCGGGGGCAACGAACGGGGAGCGGGGGATGGGGGGTGAGGTGGGTGGGGGAAAGAGAATGGGAAGGAAGGGAGGGAAGGGGGAAGCGAAGGGGCGGGATTGGGGGAAAAAAGGGGGGGGGAGGGGGAACATGGGGCGAGAATGTCAGAAAATCGAAGCAGTAAGGCGAAGAGTGACTGGAACGAAGTTGCGCAGAAGGCAACACGCGATGAAACGCGTAGGTCTGGACGCGATCCGGAGGGCAAGATTCGCTAAACCACCTGTGGAAGATTCCGTCGCGCTGCGAGAAAGAGTGGCGCGGCGCTACCTGTTGAGAAATTCGTGGGGTTGCGATGCGAGAGGGTGACTGACGACCCACTGTCTACGACTTAACTCATCGCCGCCTCGCAAGAGAGAGCCGCGCGCTACCTGTCGAAAAAATCGCGGGGTTGTGACGGGATGTTGGTGCATTCCCACGCCGCCGCGCGCCGAGCAGAGGAAACCAGCGCGCACACGCACACGCTCACCCACACGCACAGCGAAACCAGCGGGCCCAGCGCGCCGAGATCCGCGGCCAAGGGAAGGGCTCGTTGCTGCACGAGCCCGCGGCTTCTTCGGCAATGGCTGGCCATCTCCATGTCGGCAGTTTTTTTTAGAATTCTAAAAAAAGTTCGGAAAGCGAGCAATGCGAGTCCAGGCGATTGACCGTGCGATGCGACCTAAATGTTGTTTTGAGACTGCATCTGAATCTTGAACTTCGCACGACCGAGCGTGGAACAGACAGGTTCTTAGGCGTGCAGGTTCTTAGGCGTGTACTAAAATGAAGCGTGGAAGTATGTGGGAGCACTTTCAGGAGGTCCCAAGAGAATGGTGGATCTGATTAGGAACAGAACGCCTCATTCGCAACAATCTAAGTTACTGTAGCACGCTGCTGTTTTCCATTCAGGCTCCTCCACATCTTTCACTGTGGAGTGGACAGGGCAGTGTCCCGTCCCGTGGCTGCCGCACTTGGCGCGGGAAGGTTGACGTGGAGACTTCCACGTCAGAAGTACAATCCATGATTGAAAGAACAAGAACTTTTCACGTCATGCTGACGTGCACTCGAGATGTCTGCATATACGGCGACTCGATGTCCTTGAGGTTGGAGATATTACTTGATTGCAACTTCAGCCAAGAGGAAACAGCATTATGCTGTTGACATTACCGGTACTTGCCACTAACAACATATAATCCACCATATTGCAAGCTCCAGCTTCTGCCTTTTCCTGCAAGGATTTGGCTGGGAATCTAAACCGTTGCAAAAGGTATTGAAAGAATTTGAGTGGCGAGCTGAAGATTTGGCCGAAGCGGGAGTGGAGGCATCTTGCTGCTTATTCCTGGGAAGGCTTGCAAGCTGCAGTAGTAAGAGAGAGGAGACAGACACAAGGAGGCATGTAGCAAAGGGTCACGCTGTTACAAACATAGAAGGTAAGGACATTTACACGTGAACCGAATGTAACTCACCTTTCCAGAGACGACACTAAGTTGCGTTTCAGTTGCTGCAACATGTCACCAGAGTCTTGAAGCTGCACAGGCTCGCCGGCAGGAATTTTTTTTGTTAGTAGTGTTGCTTGAAGTAGACGCCTCTTCAAGTGGCAGACACTTGGCATGCTGAGCAGAAGGCTAAATCCATGCTGACACCATGCTGATTGCACACAGAGAATGCTGAAGTCGCAGAGGATGCAAGGAAAAACACAGCCAGGGAAAGCACAGACCTTTTGCAGCCTGAGGGCCTCCCTGATCTTCTCAATGAGCACTGTGCTGTGCGCCAGCCGCGCCTCCTGCTCCACCGGCACATTCCACGGTAGCGCAGCTGACAATAAAGGGGATGACGGGGACCTCATATTCAATGGCGCCGCCGTTGCAGTGAGCACTGACGTAGGCGACACGGAGAATCCAGGCGACTCAAACGATCCAAGTGTGGCAAGCGATGGTCTCGACAGGGTTGGGGCTTTAATTTCCCCACACACCATCGCTCCATACACCTTCAACTCCTGCTTCACACCACGCTTCACGCAATGCTTGGTGTTCATGACCTGCGCCTGTGGATCCTGTTGTGACGCTATCAACCTGGCGTTGTCGGCGTCAACAGCAACCACGCTGCTGGCCCTTCTAGCACCGTGAGCACCTTCCGCACCATCAGCATCAGCAGCACAACCAGCAGCATCCGCACCGCCATCGCCGTCGCAACCAGCAGCGTCACGCACACTACCTCGTTTGCCGTCTACTCCGAGGATAGTGGCCTCTAGAGAGCCCAAATTCCTCGGAGCAGCAGCACCTGCACCCGCAGCAGCAGCAGCACTGGCAGACGGATCCGTAGCTGCAGCAGCAGGAGCAGCAGCAGCAGGAGCAGCAGCAGCACCAGAAGCTAGCAGGCAGCCCAGGGTCATGGAAAGCGCATCACAGAATTCGCTAGCAGGAGCGCCATTCACGCCTGCGTCCCCATCCCCATCCACCCTCCCAGGGATAAGACCCTCTGCTTTGGACGGCTGCGATTCCTCTAGCCCCTGGGCCAGCAGCCTGTCCTCCTCATTGATTGCCTCGTTATCTCGTATATCGCCTGCTGCGTCGCGCCTGTCTCTGCTGCTGTGCGACTTCTTCTTCCTTGGGAGAGCAGCGGATGGGCTTCCAGGCTTTCTCTTGTGCGACTCTCGAACCTGGAAGGGGGAGAGCCACGGAGAGGTGTGAGTGAAGTGACGGAAGCGCAAAGAGGAGGCAGGATTCGCCGTATGAAGACCGTCTTTTGACGCGCCAGCGACAGACCTACGAGCGTGTTGGTTTGGGAAGGGAACCTCGCAGCGCACCCGTCGATTCTACGAATCGGGTGGCTAGGTACGGTGAATCTATCGCTTCTAAACGCTGCGTTCGCCTCCCAGCGCGCGTTTCGACAAGAATGCTGACACTTGGAAAGCGAGTTTTCTCCGAAAGGGCGTAGGCCATCAGAAACTATCGCATTCGTGTGGTCTTGACATTCAAGGCGCCGTCCGTGCCCGCACAAGGCGCCGCTAAGCTTTGCTGCCCCCACAAGGCGACCATCAAGTCTATATATACGTGAAAATTGTAATATTTCTCGTAGTCCTGAAAAATCTCATCATACGAGAAATGAATGCAGGTCTAAGGGGTTTACCTTGCCGCGCCATCTGCAGCGAATCGCGACGTCTCTAGCCGTCTTGTTTGGCAGACACGCCGCCACTAGTAGGTACCTCTGTAACGGGAACAACTCGCTTTCTGCGTGCCTGGTTGGGTCAGCGCGTGGGTTGGAAGGAGGAAAGGAAGGGGCGAATGGGGAATGGGGGAAGACCGTTGGGGAGGGGGACTAACGGCGGAGGGGGAATCGGGCGTGCGCGCGCTCACCTCGCCACTGCTCGCTGCAGCTCGCGGTCTTCCTCCGGCGACCAAACGCGACAGCTGCGGCGATGGAGACGCCTTGCGAAAAGGAGACTCACCTCGACAATGCCGCCCACTCCAGCTCGCGATCTTCCTCTGGCGACCACGACTGCGACAGCAGCGGCGATCGATGCGCCGCACGAACGAACTCTCGAGAAGAAAAATCTCGAGAAAGAAAACTCGAGAAAGGAGACTCGAGAAACGGGACTCACCGTGCACATGCCCGCTCCAGCTCGCGATCTTCCTCTGGCGACCACGACTGCGACAACAGCGGCAGATGCAGCAGCTCCGCAGTCGGCGCTGAACTCGCTGGGATACTACTCGGCGAGCGGCATGTCTCAGTCATGGCGGGTGTCCCCGCTGCCGCGGACCCGGTCGCAACATTTTCCGCCGCTGAAAGGCGCAAGTTCCTTTCCGCCCCTGCGCCGGCTTGCACAGTTCCGAGCGCGGTCTCTCGCGAGGTCGTTTGCATGGTCCTCGATTCCGCCTTTTCAGGCGACAATGGCGGGAGTTTCTGCTTCCGCGCTACCGGAAGAGGGCTGGGATGGGGGGAGGGAGTTGGGACGAAGTGAAACGGCGAGCGAAGCGCGGCTCGGTTGGGAATTTGCGAGAAGGGTGCTGGGAGGCCGTCGACAAGACACGGACCCCTGGACGGCATCCCGGGCTCGCGAGCCGCGACAATTGCGCAGCGACGAGGAATATAACTGACGAGCCTATGTCGCACCTGATGTAAGACCTAGAAGGTATTCTTATTGATCACGGTGTGCCTACTGGCGGTAGCAGAACACGGCACGAGGGAGGGAATGAGCAGCTCGGGGTTGAAGTTGGAAGAAAGGTCTGGGACAAGCTTGAGTTCGGGCCAGAGTCTAGTCCCGAAAGTACACTGGAAGGAGAACTGCTGTGGGAATGGGAGGCACTGAGATGGTAGCTTTACAACCGTGGCAGAAACTGGAACCACGACTGTGGAACCCTTGGGATTTGCTCCTTGGGTTTTGCCTGTGTGTTTGGCGTTCCTTCCCATCTCCCAAGGCTGGTTTGCCTTGGGATTTCCCGAGTTCTATCTCTGTCCTGCCTAGGGATTTGGTGGGCTGTTTTGGGGAACGAGCGGGGCGGAAGGTTGCGGGGAAGGCGGAATGGGAGGGGAAAAGACCAACGAGGAGGAGCCAGGGGGAGGAGGGAGCAGCATATGCCAATCCCAGCCATAGAGCTGGAGGGGCAGGGGGGGAGGGGAGGAGAGGAGGCTCAGGAGGGGCGAGGGCAAGGGAACTGTCCGCAGCGCCGGGGGAGTTACCAGCACGAAGTTTGCGAGCGCGAAGGGGAAAGCAAGCAATGGACGGTTCGATGTCGCCGCAATCTGGAACGGACTGCTCGGATGGAGGGCTGCTGCCAGCGTGACATGACGCGTTGCGGAAGGTCCCGAACGGGAAAGCATGATTGGCCAATCGGGGAAACCCGACTCAAAATCATACAGTACAACTGAAGCGACGCGGAATGTGAACAGTGTTGTCGGGTCGGATCATTCCCCGTGCGATGGAATATTTGTACACCTTGAGCCTGACAGAAAAACACAGATTTTCAGGGTACCGGTAGACAAAAACGCGCAGGGGTTTCGCACAGCATCGTCACGGGCATGTGGGCCTTTCGCACGGGCACGAAGGTTACCGTTTTGATTTTTTGTGGGGTAGGTTTGAGTGGCATATTTTGGCGAGCCATTGTTCACTTAGTTATCCTGTATTAAATTCCGGCGCTTTCAAACGAGAGTGAGTTTCTCTGGTGTAGCACCAAAGTGGTGGTTGGCGGGTGAGATGTTGAGTGAGTTTCTAGGGTTTGGTTTGCTCCCTTTTATACTCAGTGAAATATAGGGAGGGTTTGGAGTCGCTTTTCAGTTCCAAGTGTTAGGGGCGTGTTCTAAAGATTTATTACATTACGAATTGAAGGTTTGTGTCGCAAAAATAACGGCTGCGTGGTTTGTGGGAATTTGTTTTCGAGTTTGTTCCTTGGCTGGTTGTCGGATGTTGAGAACGACCCCTGGCATTAGGACATCGCGACTCCATTTCGTTGCCAAGTCAGCGTTCAGTTTCATGCGGCGATGCCCAAGCCACAAAAAAACACAGCAAGGCGTACGCACCTTTGCAAGCTCAACGAAAGGCTCGTTGAGCTTCGCCGTAGCGCTATTCCGAGAGCGGCTGGAAGTTTGTGGCGAAAACGGTTGCGGCGCACGTCGTCTTGTGCCGCATGTTCGTCACCGATGTCATGATGACGCTGCACTGCTGGCGTTGAGTGGGCCGTTGCCCGTGTGCCAACGCTAATGGGCGGTGGTTTCTGATTGGGCCAAGTATTGAGCTGAGTCTTAGGTGTACTCCAGGTGTACTGCCCTGGCAATCAGATGCTCGTCTGTGACTGTTCCACCTTCTGGAAAAATTGGAAATCGAACTGTTCTCAGTGCAGGTAACGTGTAATCAGGCGGTTCATGGCGGTTTGTTGTGTTCTGTCAAACTACGAAGGGCAGATGGAAGCTTAAAAATATCTGATTGAGCAGCACAGTAGTAGACTGGTACAGCTGTAGTCAATGCCAAAACATTTGCTAACCTCTCCGTTGCAGCATTCCTTGCCGACCGAAGACCAGCCGCCACTCCGCTTTCTTGTCGGCTGCCACGCAGAATCTCGTCAAAATGACATGTCACCCTGCTTGACGCTGGAAGATTTGGCCCTCCCGTTGTGCAACTTGAAGTCGCAATGTTGCTGCAGTACCATTCAGTTAGACGGGACGGGAGGACTCAGGTAAAGCCTGCATCTTTCATTGCTTTCTCCATTACATTACATTACATCCCAACGAGGAAAACCATTCATCCATCCACTTCACCAATGAAGAGTATCTCGCAACCAGCAACCCTTTATTGCCTTTCTCGAACCTAAATGGGGAGTTCATGCCGATCAACAACTTCTCCACGCGACTCCTTACAGCAGAAGCTCCTTGCTTCCGACTGTGCTTCCCCCATCCTGTCACAATGGCAACTCTACCAGGGAGCTCTTCGGTACCCTCCCCTTCTCTATGCTTCCGTTCCAATGACGAAGATGACCCTGCCTCTCTTATTACACTGGCATAGCCCCAATATCTATCAGTTAACTGGATGCTATGCCTTGCTTGCTTTGAACCTTGGTTGTTCTCTCCTTCTGCTATCCCTTTCGCCGTGACGCCAAGCCAGGCAAGCAGCACCACCGCAGCGGCTTCAGAGTGCAATCCATGCAGATCAACCTGCAACCCGCTGCTGCTGCTGCTAGCACGAGCACTGTTGCCTCTGCTAACCGCGGCGACATAGCGGCGGAGCAGAGCCGCAAAAGCACGGGCCAGCACTTGACTCTCTCCATCAGATGCTGATGGGGCGTGCTGGTGATGGTGGACAAGGCTGAGGGAGATTTTGAATCCTGCGACATGGCCTACTACTGACTCCGCACTTGCATTTGCTGCCGGCAGCAGCTGTGGGACCAAAGGCGGCAATAGCTGCGGAACGACAGAAGCACCCAAGAGGCGCACTGCAAGGTTCATGGTGGTTGCTGGCGGGGATGGAAGCGCTGGCAGTACCTTAGAGCTGTTGCTGCATGCCACGTCAGCAGTAACTGCCACGTCATCAGTCATGTTGTGGAGCATGGATGCGACCTGCTGACACTGGCCTCTCTCCCAGGCAGATCTCAGAAGCAGCTCCCTTCTCCTCCACTCGTTTACACCTCCGGCTCCGCCTCCTCCTCCTCCTCCTGCTGCTGCTGCTGCTGCTGCTTGTGGTGGTGTTGATGCTGCTTCTGATTCCGCTTCTGCTGCTGCTGCTGCTTCTGCTGTTGCTTCTGGTGCTGCTTCTGCTGCTGCTTCTGCCACAGGCTGTTGTGCTTTAAAGCAGCTCATCTCCCCCACCACTTCTTCCATCTCCCCCCACCTCCTTTCCCTCGCCAGCACCCGCGCCACTGCCTCCTCCGCCTCCCTTGTCGCCACTGCTTCTGCTCCCTCTGCTCCTCCTGCTGCTTGTTGTTTCAAGCAGCTCATCTCCCCGACCACTTCTTCTATCTCCCCCCACCGCTTCGCCCTCGCCAGCGCCCGCAACACCGCTTCCTCCGCCTCTCTCGCCACCACCGCCACCTGCCCCCTCACAGCCTGCCACGTGGCAGATCCCGATTGGAGCACGAAGCGCAGCAGTGCAAGGGCATCGTCCGGGCGATTGCAGCGGGCAAGGGCGGCCGCGAGCATCAGCACTGCATGCACCTCCCTCTTTAGAGACCGAGAACACGGCTGAGGAGAAGAAAAATGAGGCGAAATCCCGTTCTCAAGAGCAGAACTCCTCAGCTCTCTGCCGCTTGATCGTTGCGAGTTCTCGTCCCTCTGTCTGCTGTCCTGTCCCTCGATATCTCCTGCTGCTCGCGCTTCACCTGATTCCGGACCACTCGAGCTGCTTCCCAAGGTGGCTGTCTTTTGAATCGACCCACAAGTCAACCTAGTGTGGCGGGACAGGTCGCCTCCCATGATGCTGCTGCGGTTGGGTTGAGATTCTTCCCAACCCCATCCCATGCACAGCAGCACCGCAACTGACCCATCCACCACACCCACCTCCCCGAACGCCTCTATCAGAGCACAGCCCGGGGCGTAGGAGAGAGCGGGAGACGGTGTGGAGAAAGGGTGGGAAGGAGTGGAGGAAGAAGCGCGACCAACTAGAGGCTGCTGTCTTTCTGCCGGCTGCGCTGGCACCATGAGCTGCCATGATATCTGAGAGGCTAGCAGATCTGCAGTGGGGGATAACGCCAAGGGAAGCCGGCCCAGAGTGGGAAGAGTGAGAGATGGCCCTGGCTGCCTTGTGCCCCTGCTGCCCTCCATTGAAGCACAGTCGTTTGCTGCTTCGGCAGATTGGAAAGGGGAAATGGAAAAATCCTCTGGTGGCGCACTGGGGAAAGCAGGTGCAGCCTCCATGCCTATGGATCGGCTTATGAGGGAAGTAGATACGCCTGCCATGACTGCGGGAGGACCCTCCCGAGGCCTCTGGAGGGTTCTCCCGGCGCCTGCTTCGTCGCTGTCAGCCGCCATGCCTGCAGGAGGATCCTCCCGAGGCATCCGGCCAATCAGCTGCACCCCCCTCTCAACATGATTCGCTGCCACCAGGCCCGCAGCCACTCGGGCGTGCAATCGCAGAGCGCCACCTGTCATGTGGTGCCCACCTGCCCTCTGCTGCTCAGTGGCATTGTCGTGAGCAGAAGGGACGGGTTTTGAGACCGCCTGTTTTTTGCTGCTGTCATGAGCAGAAGAAACCGAATCGCCTGATTTTCCGGCGCCAAGGGAGGTAGCAGGTGGAATCAAGTCAAGAACCTGAGTGGGTGGAGAACGGTGAGGTGCGGGTGAAGGCGCGGATGGAAGGAGAGGCAAGGAGACGGTTTGGGGTTTGAAATAAGTGGGTGGATGGATGGAGACGAAGTTGTACAAGGAAGAGAAAAAGGGTGGCGACTCTGAATCGTCTGACTTCCCTACGCCAAGGGAGGTAGGCGGTAGGTGCGGGTAAGCCAAGCACCTGAAGCCACAGCGGCAGCATGGGAGTTGGTACGGGATTGCGGTGGTTGCGGTGCCGTGGGGTGGAGAAGAGGGGATTTGGTGCATACGTGTGAAAGCGCATCAGGGGTGTGTGAATGTGCATTGGGGGTGTGTGAATGTGCATCAGGGGTGTGTGAAAGCGCATTAGAGGTGTGTGAATGTGCATCATAATGGGCGTCAATGTGCGTTACACTCACATCCGCTGCCACGTCAGTGTCATGCAAGCGCCATAGCTTCTCAGCAACAGACCCAAAACTTCTTCAGTTCAAACCAAATACAGCTAACGATGCCGTCAAAACAGAATCCCCCATTACACTCACATTGGAAATCCCTCTTCCCCCCGTTACACTCACATTGGAAATCCCTCTTCCCCCCGTTACTCTCACATTCTCACATTGGAAATCCCTCTTCCCCCCGTTACACTCACATTGGAAATCCCTCTTTCCCCCGTTACACTCACATTGGAAATCCCTCTTCCCCCCGTTACACTCACATTGGAAATCCCTCTTCCCCCCGTTACACTCACATTGGAAATCCCTCTTCCCCCCGTTACTCTCACATTCTCACATTGGAAATCCCTCTTCCCCCCGTTACACTCACATTGGAAATCCCTCTTTCCCCCGTTACACTCACATTGGAAATCCCTCTTCCCCCCGTTACACTCACATTGGAAATCCCTCTTCCCCCCGTTACACTCACATTGGAAATCCCTCTTCCCCCCGTTACTCTCACATTGGAAATCCCTCTTCCCCCCGTTACACTCACATTGGAAATCCCTCTTCCCCCCGTTACACTCACATTGGAAATCCCTCTTCCCCCCGTTACACTCACATTGGAAATCCCTCTTCCCCCCGTTACACTCACATTGGAAATCCCTCTTCCCCCCGTTACACTCACATTGGAAATCCCTCTTCCCCCCGTTACACTCACATTGGAAATCCCTCTTCCCCCCGTTACACTCACATCTGCTGCCAGCTCGAATTCCCGCACAAGCCACAGCTCTTCAGCAACAGATCGCAGGAAAGCGGCGGGAAGCTTCTTGAGTCTCCGCAGCTCACGCAGACTCTCTTTCCCCATCCTGGACTCCGATTGGCTGTCACAGATGAGGGTCAGTTCTGGAGCCCTGGACGCGCTGGTATTGGCCTTCACAGCCAGTAGCAGCGGGGATTGACTGTCAGTTCGAGCAGCCAATACCAGCGCGTGGACGGCCCTCGCCACCCGATTGGTCACAGTCCGCGACATGCGCTTGCGGCTGCCCAGTCCAGTCCGCAAGGGGCGGAAGCCAATATCGCCAGGCGCGGGGGTGGCGGAAGTTGCAGCGGGAGTGATGGAATCTGCGCTCAACCCTTGTCCCTTACTTGCGAGTGATTCCAGATTCCGAGGCCTGGTCGTTCCCGCGCCTGACTCGAGGTTGCCGCGCCTTCCGTGGCCACTACTGAGTCCCCCGCACTTCTTGCGCCTCTCGCGACTGCTACGAACAGCGCCATTGCTGCTGCCGGCGGTAACTGCTGAAGCCTTCCCTGCCTGCGGTTCAGGCGCAATTGCTGGCCTTAAGTTTGGAAACGGCTGCGGGGATACCGGATCTAAGCTTGAGATTCGCTGCGAGGTTGCTGGTTCTAATCTGCTGGCCTGTTCGGACGAGTTCTGTGACGGTAGTACAGCAGGATTCGAACCCGGGTCTCGTGCATCCGAGGCCGACTCGTTCGCTACGGAATCAAGCTTGTCTGAACGTCGAATGCTAGCTCCGCCGAAACCCTTAGGCTTATCAGTTGGAGTGGAGACGAGCGAACTAGCTCGCTCGCTCTGGCTCTTTCTCCGATGGCCGCTTTTCCGTGGGGTTGCATGGCAATGCACCCGAAAACAGCGAGCAGGAAGGACCTCGACGCTCGGCGCGCAGCGTGTGGCCTCGCGGTCGGATTCGGACCTCTTGAGCTTGATTCGATTCTGACGATGACGGGGGGATTCCGTGAAGTGTGGATGCAGCACTGAGGCGTTACTTGGCTTGGCTGGATGTGGTGAAGAATTGACGGCGAAAAGAGATGAATTGACGGAGAAAAGAGGCGATTTGACAGAGAGAGGAGGAACGAGGTTCAGCGCCGATTGGGACATGTATGCGGCGCAGGCCGAGTGCGCAGGTCCGGTTCAAACCTAGGACACGCCGAACCTAGATTATGCCGAGCTTATGTCATGTCATGTCAAACCTAGTTTACTCTTCCTGAAATCCCGTCATCATGCCGACCCTCGGTCGATCTGATGTGCAAGTTTAGGCTAGAACCAGTTAGTGAGGTCCAGCAGTACTATTGACGATACTTCGAGTCTGTGTCATGTGCTGGGGGATCCGAGCACGGAAGGGGAAGAACATAAAACAGGGTAACTTACCCTCGGTATGCTCAAGAAGACTGATATCAGCTTTGTATAGATATAAACATCTGCGATCTCTAAATGTGGTGACTATTTTGGAACCCTCAAAGGAAGTCTCTAAACCAGTGCGAATCGCCTTATCCCTAAAATGTCCTAATTGCCAATTTTAATCTCAGCAATAGCAACTGCATCGAACCAATGAACATGCCTCGTCCTAGCAAACCCAGAATAGCTGCTCTGATTGCTGACGACTGATGCTGTAACACCCCAGCACTGCTCTCTCTACAACGGAATATGTTGCTGCTGCCACAGCCAATAAGGGTCATGCTCATGCTCCACCTGTGCAGCGTTAGTGTCACTACCCTTAAAATCACCGCCCTTACAGTCACTGCCCCTACTGTCACTCCCAACACAGTCACTCCCATTACAGTCTCGTCCATAACAGTCACAGGAGACCTCAGCCCCATCCTCGTCCTTCAGCAGGCAGTATGAATCCTCCACCCAACCGCCCGGCGCCACATGCATAGCTGCAGCTATAGCTGCGGGCCCCACGGCTACAACAACCCGTGCTGCTGACGCCATAACTGGTGGTGATGCTACAACCAAGGATGACACTGCTGGTACAGCCGTTGCTGGTGTTGCAGCTGCAACACTAGGCGCGGTTGCCGCCTGTGGGAAACTCGCTGCTGCTGCTGCGGACAGCGGTAAAGGCAACAGTGGTGCTCTTGGCAAATTTGCTGCTCCCACTGACACTGGAGGCACCACAAGTTCAACGGCCTGAGAACCAGTATAGTGGAGGAGAATCGGTCCTGAGAATGACTCATGGAACCCTAGACCACCATCACCCTCGCTGGAGTATTGCTGCCTAACCACCTCGCCGTGACTGTAACCTGAAGCTTCGCTGTAGTCACACTCGCTTCCTCCAACAGCGTTCCCCACACTCAGGGATCTACACCGTCTAAATATCCGCCTGGGGGTGCTGGTAACTGTGGATGTACCCCCTACTGCAGGATTCGCTTTAATCCCGGACGCCGTCGCTACTGCAAGTGCACTAAGCGAGTGTCCCTGTACCAGCGGCGCCTCAAACTCACGCCCAGTCGCCCTACCAGGTCGAGAGGCAGAAGGGGAGAGCAATTTAGGGGAAGCGGCGGCGAAGGATAGCCGATGAGGCAGATTTGGAGTGGAAGGGGAAGGGGAAGGGGAAGGGGAACATAGACCTCGTGACATTGGAGAATGTGACTGTACCGATGGGTGCAGTACGGACGAAGGCCCAGCAGCCACTTTGGGCGAGAGAGGGGGCAAGCCGGGCGAGCGGGGGCGCAGCGGGCATGGTCGAAGCGAGTGTGACTGAAAGGAGGGCGAGTGGAGGGTTGGGCGGAGGGTGGAGGGCGAGTGTTGGAAGGAGGGGACGCTGAACTCGCCGATCTTCTCCAGCCGCATCGACTCCAGCTCCGCCGAATGCAGGCTGCGCGTGCGCCTGTGCGCCCTCTGTGGCATCAGCTGCTGCTGCTGCTGCTGCTGCTGCTGCTGGTACTCCTGCGGTTGCTGCTCAAACCCCCTCCCCTCCCGCCCTCCCCTTGCAATTCGCTCGGCAGACGCCACTCGCAGGCGGTGCTGGGCGAAAGACGGCACACTCACCACCCACGCGTTACCACCAGCCGACCGCGGGGATGGCGGGGGCAGACCACTGGGGGCCGTAGGGCTATGCGCCGAGGGAGTAAGGAGGCCTGACCTGGCTGCACCCGTCACACCTGTTACAGGTGGTAACATCGCTTCGCTACCCACACGTCGCATGCCGCCCGCCTCCTCGCCTCCCGTCTCCGAACTGTTGCCATTCGCCCCGTGCCCGCGGTTCCCCCTCAGATCCCCCCTAGGTTCCCCCCCTGCGCTCCCCCTGGGGCTCTGCAGCGACCGCGTGCGCCTCAGGTCGCGGGGCAGGCTCCGCCAGAGAGCCTCGAAGTCCCCCCCGGCCCCATCCGCCAGCGATCGCCCCACCCGCGCATTTCTCCCCAGCATCGGCGCGTTTCCTTCCCCCGCTGGCGCGTTTCCTCTGCCCACTGGCGCGTTCCCCCCCCCCACAGCCGCGTTTCCCCCGCCCATTGGCGCGCTCGCTCCCCAGGCAAGCGCGTCGAACCCGCTGCCGCTAGACGCTGACGTCACACTCTCGCAGTCCGTGTCATCGGTGTGCTGGATGATCAGCGACTCGCTATAAGCAACTTCGGTATAAGCCGCAGTGCTGCTGCTAACTACACTCCCAGCCGCGCCAGCTATGCTACTGCTATACGAAATACGCCTTTCTAGATCCTCCCTTTCCCCCTCCCCCCGCTCCGAAACGCTTTCCCCCGCCCCGTCCCCTACCCCCCACCCTCCACCCCACGGCCTATCACCAGGCGTGCCTCCGCTAAACCAGGGAGAAAAAATCGAGCGGATCCTATCTCCGTTATAAGCTAGTTCGCTATCCGCGTCCGCCAATGCCCCTGTATCGTACGATTCGCGGAGCTCTTCCCCCTCGGGCAGCACGCTCACGCCTCGTCGCGCCATATTCGTCAGGCCAAACAGCGGAGATTTTGGGCGGGAAAGTGGTGCAGCGGAGCGCCACCGCCCGAAGATTCCGACTGGCGCCGTGCGCGGACGGGCGGAATACCCCCGCGACCCCTCCGCCCCCGCAGCTTCCGGACGAGAGTAAGGTTCCCGCAAGTTTTCTATCTGCGCGGATCTCGGGCTCGCTGACGTGTCACGCTGGAGCGCCGGGCTGACGTCAGCTACTCGCTGGCTCTGCGATTGGGCAGCGCTTTGAGGCCGCCGGGGCGCCCCGGAGGCGGAAACAGAGTCGGCGCGCTTCTTGCGGCGGCTGCTGCGCGCCGATGAAGGTGCCCATTGCAGCAGCATGCGCGCAAAGCCGCTGGCGGAACCCAGCGGAGACTGCTTCGGCGGACGCGCTTTTTGCGGACGCGGTTTCGGCTCGGACGGCGACACGTGGACCTCCCATAGACGGTCGACCTCCTCCGAGGTGCCACGTGGCACGGGGTGAGAGAGCGGCGGGAGGGAGTAAGGCGCGGGCTCATGCCGCACTTGGCCATACGCGGTGTCGCATGGATCGTCGTCGTGGTCGTCGTCGGTGGGAATAACGATTCGGACTGAGGGAAAGTTACGGGAAGAGGCGGAGACGGAGCGATGACACGTTCTAGAATGCGGCGGGGATTGGCTTCTAGTTGGGGACTGCTCCCCCGCTGCGCGCTCCGTCATTGCGCACCCTAATGATTGCGAACGCGCAGCGCGCCTGCGCGGCTCGTCAAAAGTCGGTTGCGTGGGATTCCCGTTCGCCATCACTTGGAGTTTGTTGCATTCCATCGCAGCGCATGCGGCGGGTTCATGGAAAATCGTCGTCTCAAAAGCGGTGTGATGGAGAGGAATGGGTAGTGATGGAGTCACATTGGTGAGAGCTAACCGAAAGAGCCTACTAAGGAAGCAAGCGCGGTGCAGAGGGATTTCCGCGCATCCAACAGACCGTGTTGAGGTGGCCCGAGGGAGGACGAGGGAAATGAGAGAAGCAGAACGGAAATTCTGTCGGTGACAGTCGGTTCTTATCGTTTGTGATATGTTTCGGATGGATTGGCCTAGTTCGGATTCGAGGTCTCAGTTGCTGTCGCATATGTGCGGTTGTGTGATTTGGATTTGGTTGGCTTGGGATGGGACCAGTGTTCGTGGTTATGATGATGGTACAAACGAGGATGAGACGATGTGCGATGTGATGCGATGCTATGCGACATGGCATTTCATGTCAAAAGCAACCGCTGCAGAACAAATCACAACCCGCCACTGGCGGTTGATGTGCCTCCGTACAGAATTTGCCACTGGCATTTTGGTGTGGGTAGAAAATGTCCCCGTCAACAGTGATTTGATTTACAGATATTTTGCGTTAATTTCTCACCATTAATTCCACACCCCGCGGTTTGGTTTCATGACTCCATCCAGGCAGTGCCTGACTTCGGCAGTTGCGGGATGCCCCTAGAATTGACTCAGTGAAATGAGCTGCAGGTCAGACGCGACTAGTGCAACGACATCTAAGGCACACATTCCCACCGGGCAATGTTGAAATAGGGGCAACTCCTACGTACGCAGCGTGTACGATGTTCTACCAATCGTATAAGCGTATACAATAAACGTCGCAAACTATGGCATTCACATAAATATGGTAAATACCGCATCCCATTGGTTGGCAATCTCCACGACCCACACATGCCCCCCTTCCGAACCCATTGAAAGCGATTCACATGATCCCCAATCGACGCTGACATTACCAAGAAACCAATCGAAGGAAGCCAGCTAATTCCATTTGTTGCTTCCAAACCAGGCAGTATAGGAACCGAAGCTGGAACCAGACGAGAATCTACACATCTCCCTAACCTGAAATTTGATGAAGCATTGCTCAGAGGGACGAAGTTACGCACAGTCTGTTCCACGGCTCGCGTCGGAGTCGACCTCGCGTCAGAATCTGACGAACCTATCCGCACGGCATCGAGTTCATAGATAAATTATATGCACTGCGCATAACCGCATGATTATGACGTGAGGTCCTATGAGGTTTCGTCATACTCCATGAGTTCAGTCAATGTTCTGCATTTCCCGCACCAATTTCATATTTCAATGTGCTTCGCGACTTTAGCGACCAGATGCCGGCCAATCACAACTGTATATATTTTTGCAAATAGCTGGTGTTTCTTGCCTTTAATCTGTTAAGTGGTTTCCGATATGTGATTTGCAATCCACCCGTATAGAGTCGCACAAGCATGTGCGAAAATGCCTGCGACTTCGAGTCGCAACATACGCCAGGGGCACCGACCATGTATAGTGCGCAACAGACAGCACCTCAATCCACTTAGTGCAACTCTGCCTGCGTCGCACAGCCCCTCTCGAATAGAGCAAATTCTAATAATCTTGGATCTTGCTCTGTTCGAGTATGACTTGAATTAATACTGCGAGGTGGCGAAGGGTGGGGGACAGTCGTATAAGCAGGGGCGCGTTCAGAATGCATGTTAAAGCTCTTATCCCAAATTACAAGGCACGGCTGGTTTTGCTAGCAAAGTCAGAGCGCAAAGAAAAGGGCAACCCCATGCACCCGGGGAGAATATGCAAACGCAGGGGAAGGCGTTAAAAGGGCCATGAGATTGGTCGAAGCAGTTCAACGACAATCGCCGATGCCCAAACCACAGCTCCATCATTCAACCCGAAAAATGACTAAGGTAAAACTGATAGAAAAATTGTAATTCGGGACCCAGAAAAGGCGAGACTCCCGCTCCTAGCATTTGCCTAGTACTATGTGCCTTAACTGCACGCGTAGGCAAGCTAGCTCACGACCGCCCAGTCAAAACGCGATCATGCCATCATTAGGCGGAAGTAGTGTCGGAATGAAAGACAGCCCCCCCCTGCGACCCGCTTCCAGCTGCTTTGTTTGAAGACACCACCCACTGTTGTGCGTCTCTCGCCCACCCTCGCTAACCACGTCCCGCGTTCCGATGCACCCCGCTTCCCACCAGTCCCCGCCTTCCGCTCGTAGGCGGTGCCTCGCGAACTGCTTCCCGCTAGGCCTCGCGTCCCGCGTCTCGCTTTCTCATGCGTCACGCTACCCGCTTTCCCCCGTTTCCCACTTCCTGCGATTCCCTCGCATCCCGCTTTGCGACGCTTCCGCTTCCCGCTTCCCGCTTTGTCTTACTTGCACCTCCCGCTTTTCTGCGCTGACCCGATTCCTGCTATCAGCCGCGACCTCCCTCTGAAAGCTTTCCCACGCTTCCCGCATTCCCTCGTTTCAACACCTCCATGCTTCCCCTTGCTTTCAGTCGCATCCCGTTTACCACGTTCGATCGAGTATTCTCTGAGTTGCTGGAAAAAAAAAAGAGATTTACGATAGCAGAAGTCTCGATATTTTACACTAAGTAATGGTGTCCGGAAATGCCTGTAGTCTTCAATTGCTCTCAGTTGCGTTCAGCAGCTTTGCCGCAGTGCGGCTAGTGCCGCGGTGTTATGAATGAACAAGCAGAGTAGCGCGGAAATGAATAACGAAGTGTTCAATCACTGAATGACGATACAAGGAATGGCAAGCCAAGATATAGGAACACTAGAGCTAGTCTAACCATGAGATATGAAGGTTCGGGAAAGAGATCGAAGGGTCTCGGAGTGACGAAGCGAGGCCCGGAGAACTCCCGAAGGTCCAACTAGAAGGTCTGGAGAAGCCGAGGCGGTTCTGTCAGAAAGGTCCGGAACCATCCCGAGGCTTCGGGTGTGTTCGAGCGTACGCGATTGCAGTACCGCTCGGTAAGGAATAGAAAATTCCTTACACCACCCCCCCCCCCCCCCTTAGCGAAGGTGATCTATATCAGTCACGTGCTTGCGGGCCAAATAATTCGCAAGTATTGGAGGTGACTGTATCTGGTCCGAGGGCACCCACGTGTCGTCCTCATTGGTACGATTGGTCCATCATATCAGGAAGTCAACGTGTCGTCCTTGGCCGTTGATACGAAGCCGATGGCTCAAAATCTTTGAAGGTTCGATGGTCGTCTCTGCTGGTGGCCGTACATCTGGCACCAATCGCTGTCGGGCGATGTCCGATGTGTCGGGTACGAAAGGTCGCAACAGGCTCACTTGGAACTTGTTGTGAATACGCCAGTCGTCAGGTAGGCGCAACTGGGCGGTCACCGGCGTCACCATCTTCATGATCTTGAATGGGCCACAGAAACGTGGTCGTAATTTCGTTGGTAGTGGCAGTCGTAAATTCTTGGTGTCCAAAAGGACTAGTTGCCCGGCTACCATTGTAATATCCCGTCGATGTAAGTCTGCATACCGTCGGGCAGTAGCGTTCGCCTTGCGAATAAGTTCGACAGCTTTGTCTCGGGCAGTCTGTAATTCTTTCACGAACTGCTGCGACCGTGGTACTTGACTCTCAATATTGGTGGAGATAGATACTGTGGGGTCCATCCCGTAATTGAGGTAAAACGGGGAGTGATTAGTCGTAGATGAGGGCGCGTTGTTTTAGGAAAATTCCAACATCGAAATCGCATCCTCCCATTTGTTTCGGTCAGGGCAGTTTGTCCGAATCAGCTGCTCCATCGTTTGGTTTGTCCTTTCAGTCTTACCGTCCGTTTGGGGATGATAAGCGGATGAGAACTGCAGGCGCGTGCCGTACCGAGCCCACGTGTACTGCCAAAATTTCGACGTGAACTTCGGGTCTCGATCGCTAATGATTGCTGCTGGTATCCCGTGTAGGCGAACAACGGTCGAGATGAACAGTTGCGCGGTTTCTTCGGCTGTGATAGTTGTACGACATGGTGCGAAATGCGCCATTTTCGTCAATCAGTCGACAACAACAAATACTGCATCGTTTCCGCTGGATCCGGCCGGTAGACCCGTGACGAAATCCATCGTCACGTGTTGCCATGGGCGTTGAGGTGGCTCGAGGGGCTGCAACAGTCCCGTCGGTCACTGATGTGATGCTTTCATTCGCTGGCAGACCGGACACGCGGCCACATAACGCTGCACGTCCGTCACCATATCTGGCCAGTAATAAAACCGCTGCAACGCCTTCAGAGTTTTATCAACCCCGAAATGTCCCGATAAATTCGAATCGTGGACTTCTTGAATTAGTAATTCGCGAAGTAGACGATAACTTGGGACCCAAATTCGATCTGTTCCGCTTCGTAAGTAATAGACGCCTTTCCGTGTAGTGATTGGGAGATGGTCGTCGTTTACGAAGAAAGGGTCCGTCGAATACCCGTGGGTAAATAGTCCACTAAGTAGCGGGTTGCTCTGGGCGACTAGTACTGCTGCTAGTTGGGCAGACGGTCTGGAAAGGGCGTCTGCAATATTGTTGGCACCCTTTTTGTACGTGATCTTGTACGTGAAGTTGGATTCCAGATAGTCCAGCGAGTGTATCTGCCGCGGGTTGAGATTCGGCTGCGCTCTCAGGTACTGTAGAGATTTATGATCGGTTCGCACCGTCACGTCTGCTCCAGTCAGGTAGCACCTCCAGATTTTGAACGCGTGGACAATCGCCAGCATCTCCTTGTCGTGTACCGGGTAGTTGCGCTCGGCAGATTGCATTTTGAGAGACTTGTACGCGATTGGTTGAAGACCATTGCCGAAATCTTGCATGAGCACAGCTCCGATGGCGACGTCACTTGCGTCGGTGATGACTTCGAAGGGCCGTTCCGGGTCAGCGATGCGAAGTACCGGTGGCGACATTAAAAGATTTTTTAATGCCTCGAACGCAGCTTGCTGCCTCTCCCCCCATTCGTAAAAAGTCCCCTTCTGCAGTAGGCCGGTTAGAGGTCCAGTTAACCCTGCCATGTTGGGTATAAACTGCCGCACGTAATTTACAAAACCCAGAAAAGATTGCAGCTGTTGCAGGTTTGTTGGTGGTTTC